CGATACGCCTGCCCTTTGACTTATTAGTTCCATTTTAGGGTTTCAGCCTACAGAAATCTATCCAAGTGCACATACACATGAGGGTAAGAATGTTCTTTGGAGTGTTTAGAGTGCTATGAAACTGGTAAAATAATAGGGGGTTAGTTAAATAAATTATACTGCTTTTATAGACAGAGTTGCATGTAGCCAAGATCAGTCAGATCTTTATGAAGTGCTATGGAAAGATATTTAAGCTTTTATGTGTATCCAAACATTTGTTAGTGTAATTTATTTGGAATTAAAACCTAACCTGAATGGCTATGAAGTTCTTTATAATCTTTGATGATCCCGCTTAGTACGAGCATCCTTATGTTTTATTGCAAAAATGCAAATGTATTTGATCATAGGTACTGTCCTAGAACCCACGAGGTGAAAGGGGTCATTTGAGATAAACAGCATTCCAAAGTCTGAAATGATCTGAGACAAGTATTGCTTCAGGGGTTTGCAATAAAGCATTTGTGTTAACTAGAAAAAACACAAACACACTAAAACAGTCTGTGCCACGTTCCAGTTTTAGGTTACAGTAATGTTTGCGTATGAATAGGAAAAAGCAGCAGTTCAGAATATGGTCCCCACATTTAATTAACAGTGATTATCTGAGGGTATGGCAATGTTTTTTAATTTTCTCATACGTGAAGTGAATTTGATACGACTTTGAATAAGACATCACAACTGTGGAGAGGATGGGACCTGCTCCTGACCCCTGACTGCTGTTTGCGCTGACCTGGACAGTCTTGGTTCCTACAGCTAAAACCTCAGCCTTTGTGGACGGTGAACTTGAGTTTCACATTCCTTTTGTGTTTTCAGAAGGTTTGGTTCTCTCCCTTCTTGTTTCTGAGTAGATACTTTTGGGGATCTACGCCTAATTGGGGTTGCCATTTTTAAGAGGCATAGGGTACCAATTCGTTCTATGCCTCTCATAACGGGGTTTAGGATTCATACTGTTGCTAAATCTCAGCTCTTTATTTTGTTCACTTTTGACTGAAAAACTTAGTACTTGATTACATCTACATTTATTTACACTGCTTTTCATAAAGTTTGAACATGACCGACTGTGTTGTTTAAAGTACATGCGTGTTTACAAAAGTGACGTCACAGTGCTACCTTGGTCCTTCTCAGAGTTGGAGAGGGCTTTGGCTGCCCCTCCGCTGCGCCCAGGCTGTTTACATGGCCCCGTGTGGTGTTTGGCGCCCTTTCTGGCATACCCAGGTTCTCATCGTGTAATTATGTTGCGTTTAGGGTGTTACATTTTTCTTTCTAGTGAGGGAGAGTAGAAAGTGTTAGGCACTGTAGGGATACATAGTTGTGAAATTGATAGCATCCCAAAGATTTTATGAAAAACGAAAGGGATCAGATATCACTGGGATTTTTAAGCCTTTGGTCTAGATTCTCTAAATCAGTTTATTAGGAAGAATTCAACTTTTTGCCTTCTTCCACAGAACAATTTCTGCACAGTTTTTGTAGCTGAAATCTGTGGGCAGTTCCTGCTGCGCACCATCTATCTGTAGGGCACTAAGGCGGAGCCTCCGCACCTGTAACTGTCACCTGCCAGGCGGAAGGAATTCACTGTTCCTGAGAACAAAGAGAATCATTTGGTCTGGTGATCTCAGAGTCAGCCTGCTCGCCTTTTCCCCCTTTTCTTATTCTTTCTTCCTTTATTAAGAATTTTAAAAGCTAAACTTGAGATTGTATTGGAATTTCACTAGGTTCCCCCCCAACCCATTAATGTTTTCTTCCTGTTCTAGAATGCAGCCCAAGGCACCACCATGCGTTTGGCTGTCATGTCTGCTTAGTCTCCTCTGGTCTGCGACAGTTTCTGAGTGTTTGATCATTTCCCATGATCTTGAGGGTCTTGAGCAGTACTTGCCAGGTTTCTTGTTGAATATTCACTGTTTGGCTTTTTCTGTTGTTTTACTCATGACTGAGGGGGGTCCTGGTTTTGGAAAGAACACCAGGGAGCTGAGAGGCACTTCACGTCACATCCTGTCAGGAATCACAGCATCCACATGACATCCCTGTTGGTGACGTTCACCACTTCCTTAAGGTAGCATTTGTCAGGTTCCTCCTCTGTGGAGTTATTTTCTTCTTTCCCTGTTCTATTCTTGGGAAGCAAGTCACTAAATCTGGCCTGCCCCGAGGAAGAGGTGAAGGCAGGATTTAATTCCACCTGCTGCAGAGGGAGGCACCTATTGGAATTCTGTAAGAAAGATTTGTCTCTTTCCCACAAGCGGTTTCATCATTTCTATCCGTGTGGACTCATGTAGATTTTGCTTTGAATACTTCAGGTTATAATCTGATACTATGTCATTTATTTTGTTGTTCAAATTTTTCTAGCATTGGCCACAATGGAGAACTTCCGTGGCGATTCATGTATCCGTTTGAAATGTTCCAGGCCCGGTTTTCTTTCTGGCTCCACAAGATACTTCAGGATCACCGTGTTTCCTGCTTTTCCCCGTCTCAGCCCCACAATCCGCCATCGTTCCAAGGAGCCTTGCTCTTCTGCCAAGATCTGGGTGTTGCGTGTGCTTGTTTCTACTAGGGTGTCATTGCTTCAGGAGATATATATACTTTAAAAATGTTATGGAAAATTTCAGGCGTACACAAAAGCACACATTCTCACTATCACACAGCTTGAACAGTTATTAATGAGTGGCCAGTCGTGGTTCCTTTATGTGGCCAAGACCAGCCCCGAGCGTGGGAGGAAGACAAAATGTCTCAGAAGCAGAGGAGGGAGGCTTTGCCAGTGACCACAGTGACACCAGCGTGCTGGCCGTCGCCCAGGGCTTGCGCTCTGTGTCCGGTGCAGAGGGCCCCGCGCATTCGCTCAGGCACCGGGGTTCTTTCCTCCTCACATACCTGGAGGGCTCGATTTCCCAATGACTTTGTTTTCCTAATAGTGCCCCTGCGACCACTTCGTCTTCATTTATCTGCCTGGAGCTCCCCGCTGTAGTTATCTCTGGGGCAGAGCCACTCTATCGGACGCACCCGGAGAACTTGCTGGGCCCCAGGGCCTGTTCAGAAAACCCCCGAGACGGTCTTCAGAATTAGTCTAGAATCGGAGCCCATCTGGCCATCTCCTGTGTCTGTGTGGTTAACAGTGCGTTCGCTGCTGCTGCCGTCTCGTGTGGGCCTCCCACCCTTCCCCAGAAGATTGGCCACCACGGAGCTCTGTGGGACAAGAGCAGTGGATTTGGGGGTAGGAGGCTTCGTTTTGGGGACTGCAGTGGTTTGTCCAGAGATTAGGAGAAAATGGTTGGAAGGGTCCAGATATTGATTTACAAGTTGATTGTACTCTTGTTTGCCCGCTAGTCTTCCTAGGAATAGGGTGGTTCGTCAGTACAAAGCCTTAGGCTGTGAGGGACATTGAACTGAGTACAGAGTTCATAGGAACATTTTCTTTACCTTAATAGTTGTGAAATTGATGGCACCACCGCTTTTGCCCCCCCCCCCCAAACAAATCCTGGATTGTGGCCGCCAGCATCACTGTATTAACCAGCCCTGGACCCCACCGGGAAGGTTACTTCCGTGTGGCACCGATGGCAGTGGCTCAGGGTTGGTTCCTTCAGTGCAGCCGAGAAGGAATGGTGCCCACCTCGGGACATGAGGCAGTGCATGCAGCTCCGTGCACACAGGGTCGTGTGTGCTTAAGAGAAGACCGCCTGTCAAGGGCGAGGTAAAGGTAGCGCGGTGTGTTCTACTGACAGCTGTCAGTCTCTTTGCACTTCTTTACATAGTTCAGGGAAATGGAGAAGTAGCATCCTGAGGAATGGCCGGTTTAGCCCGTTGTGTGTGGATAGTTGCTTCTAGCCTGATCCTTCTTAGTACTTTATTACCGGTGATACTATTTTGAGTTTAGGCAAATTTCTGATTCAAGGGGCTCTAGAACAGTGTTCTTGGAAACTTACTCAGTTTCTTGCTACAAAAACACAAAACAAAACAAAAAAACATTCAGAATCTCTAGTTTCTGAAGCTGATAGAAAGAAACCAGTCTGTGTTTAATTGCGGCTATAAACAGAGGCTGGTTGATTTCTTTTGTCTCTCTGTCAAGTGTAACAACTGGCTTCCTCAGCCTGTTGGTAGATACGCACATTGCAACCCAGTGCCTTGTGGGCCTCATTTGTGTTCAGTTGCTGTGTGTTTACCAACTGTTTAATTATATATATACTGCTACTTGTAAGATAAGACTAAAATTTTGGTGATCGATAGGGTTTGGATGTATGTGTTTGAGCTAGCAATGAAGAAGAATAAATATTAAATGTGAAGAAAATGGGCTTTTGGCAATCCATTGTTAACTATATTTTATTATAAAATTAAAAGCTTCAGTTCTGTTGCATAACATTAGTGAGGCTTAATATTTTAATGTGTCTCTGCATTCTGTAAAACCAATAGAGAAGAGCCAAAGCCTTGTGACTTGTTAGAACATTAAATTGCAGTATTTTAAAGAAACCTGTTTATTGTCGAGACACTGGGATATGGGAGGGTGGGGAGGAGGGTTTTTACTGTCTATCTCGTATCACCTTATCCCATTCTTTATTTTTTATCGCATATACTTAATAATATTTACATTAAAATGGTGTGAATTGTGGGGTGGGGGAAGATGTCATCAGCCATATGTATTATCCCTGCTGTCTTGTTAAAGCTCTCTGGGCTCGCTCTGCTGGATAGGGTTAGAAGATTTCTTCAAACATTTTGTATCCTGTCTGGTATCAAAATCCTAATAGGAAAACGGAATAACTTAGTAAGTAGGAGAGAATTTTGTTACAATTTCAGTATGACTAGCTAGTGACTCTTTCAGTGTTGTTCCACAGCTGTGGCAAAATCATCTGCCTGGAAGGCGGGCTGGCGTGGTTCTTCTGCCGGACGGATCTGCACTGCAATGAAAGGGTTAAGCCATAGGGACAGTTGGTCTTGGTTGTGTTTGATTTGCTGAATTCTCCTTTTGTTTTCTTTTTATGTTACAGATCAGCTTGAACGGGTTTTTTTACGACTTGGCCATGCTGAAACAGATGAACAATTACAGAACATTATATCTAAATTCCTTCCTCCTGTTTTGCTCAAACTGTCCAGCACCCAAGAAGGAGTACGCAAAAAGGTAAGCAGGTTGGGGTGGTTGGGGGAGTTAAGTGGTGAATAAATGGATAGATATCATGAAGTAAATTTTCTGTTCCCGTTATTGAAATCTAGGTTCAGGTTATGGCCTTTCAAAATGGAGAGTAAGTCGATGGCCAGCTTACGTGGTTTAAAAGTAGCTTTTGTGTGCTCAGCACGGCTGCATTTATCACCAGCTGTGTACACTTAGCATCAGTGCCGGCTGATATAAGTGGGACACCTATTCTGGAAGGTATGGAGGCTTCATCCAAAATCTGTGCCTTTGGTTCCAATAGGAGGGTCAGATGATCGCGGGGCAAGTACATCCTTTAATAACTGGCTGACTGTGAATATGACCTTAATTAAAAATAAGCAAAATAAGCAAAATAAGCAAAATAAGCCCTGGCTGGTGTTGCTCAGTTCGTTGGAGTGTTGTCACATATACCAAATTGCGGGTTCAGTTCCCAGTCAGGGCACGTACGTAGGTCTTGGGTTCAATCCCCTGTGGAACTTGTGGGAGAGCCAGCCAGTTGATGTTCTCTGTCACATCAGTGTTTCGCTTTCTCTTTTCCTTTCTTCTCTCTCTAAAAGCAATGAAAAAATGTCCCCGGGTGAGGATTGAAAAAAAAAAAAGCAAAATAAAATTTTTGAAAGCAAGAAGTTGTATAGCTCCTGTGTTAAGATTCTGTGAAGTCCTGTTACCAAGAGTCACATGGCTGTCACATCAGGATTGTCTTTTTTAACCTAAATGTTTTCATGGAACGTCTGTCCCCTTTATTTTTAACTAGTTCATTAGTCTTCCAGTCATACTGGCCCTCAGGCTTTTGAGCCATCATCAGGTTTCATCCCTTGGGCTACTCTGATTGACTGGCAGGGGCTTCCTAGAGGGTTGCCCTTACAGGGATTCTGAGATCCATCCTGTGTTGGGTTCACTGGAGAAAGAGTATCTTTAAGAATGTCTGGTACGTTTGCAGGAAGGACTAAGGCGTCCTTGTTATATATTTGACATGCCTGTTGTTAATAGGGCTTTGCTGAGATGAATATGTATTTGATAATGTCACTATTCTATTTAAAACCCTTCTATGGCCTTCTGTTGTCCTCAGGACAGCAAGGGATAAAAAGCCCTGCACAGTTGGTTTGTGCTCCTGTGTTCAGCCTCGTCAGTTCCGTCGTTCATTGGCAGATACTTACTGAGTTCTGCCTGCCAGGTGCTAGGGATGTGTCAGTGAGTGAAAGGAAGGTCTAGCTGGGGAGACTGGTGTTAGACCATCAGGCATTTAGTATCCAGTTAGGAACTGTGATAAACGCTAAGATGGAACGGGATTCTACAAACAATATGTTTGGGGTGTGAAGGAGACCTCCGTGTGTGTGTGTGTGTGTGTGTGTGTAGGAAGTAGCCAGGCAGAGAGATGAGGGGGACCATTAATGACAAAGGTGGCTCTGTGCAGAGGCGCTGAGCTGAAATAGAGTGTGAAGCCTGCAGGGAGGTGAAGAAGGCCAGTGCGACCCACCCAGTGCCCAGCGCCCAAGAGGGAGGGTGGTAGGAGGGCAGGCACCGGGAGAGGGAAGCAGCGATTCCAGTGTATAATTAATTTCAACATGTGAGATTTTGAAATCAGTGAAACTAAGAATTAATTTGCATTGACTCATCAGTTTGCATCGAGATGTCATTTGGGGTCTAATTTCATAATGCATGTTAGATTTAAACAGGATATACTGTCAGGGAGCTGGGTTAAATTGAGTGAAAGAGAAATAGAAATTTTAGATTTGTACAGACATATCATTAGAGTATATTTCCTATTTTAAGAAAGATGAAGTCTGTTGTGTAGAGTTCGTGTTACAGCTGACTTTGTGCATTCAGACACACTGGAATAGCTAAAACGTAAAGACTGACTGTAGCCGGTGTTGACAAGACTGGGGAGCAACTGGAGGTCTCAGAGATGGTCGGTAGGAGTGTAACTAGTTCTGTGACCACTTTGGAAAGTTGTCGGGGGTATTCCGTGCATGCTCCACGACCACGCATTTTCAACCCTGAGTCAGTGTACAACAGAAATGTGTACATTTTCACCAAAAGGCACGTACAGGAGTGTTCACAGCAGCATCATCCATCATAGCCCAAACCGGAAAGACTCTAATGGCAATCAACAGGAGAATAGATAAACTGTAGTATTTTTCTGCTTGCACAATGAAAGTGGACTACCGATATGAGCAGTAACATGGATGAATCTCAAACGTAGTGTAGAATGAGAAATATTCAGACACACGAGTTCATCCTGTATGTCCCATTTATATTCAGGATGGGGCGAAAGTAGGTTTACAGTGGTGAGTACAAAAAACACAAGCGTTTAGTCTTGTCTTATTGATTAATTATTGTATTCTTTTTTTAAAAAAAGGATATTGTTTATTTATTTTTAGAGAGGGCAAGGGAGGGAGAAAGAGAGGATGAGAAACATGGACGTGAGAGAGAAATATTGCTGATCGACGGGTTGCTTCTCATAAGCTCCCCCACCAACCAGAGGACCAGGCTGTTAACCCAGGCATGTGACCAGACCAGGAATTGAACCAGTGACCTTTCACTTTGTGGGACGACGCCCAACCGACTGAGCCACATTGGTCACGGCTGGATTATTCTCCATAAGAACAACTGTGGAACTACTTTGTCCCATTTAAAAATGGTGCTGAAAATGAGCCTGGTGGTTAGCGATTAGGAGGGGGTCGGGGGGTGCAGGGCCTTTGTGGTGCTGGCGTTTCCTTGGCGTGTTTATTTTGTGAAAAATTATTGAACCACTTATTCTCAGTTGTGTACTTTAGCTATATACTGTGCTTTAATGAACAGTTATGAATAAGTAAATATAAGTGAACGAGTAGTAACGAGAACCGATGCGGCCAACATAATGCACACCTGAGGATGGTAGCTCTGTAGGCTTACTGTAGGAGTTATCTGTTATCTGTTCAGCCAGAGCTGGCTCAGCTGATTTCTTGATTTTTGTAGCCTTATAGAGGATTCTAGACAGTGGATAACCCAATTACGAAATACATATTTAAGGTGACGAAATTGGCAGAAGAAAACTGAGTAGGTAATCCATTTAAAATAACAAAATGTTCTTGAAAAGAAAGCATGTAGACGTGCACAGGGTTGACTGTCACCATCAGTGACGATTTCCGTGGAGTCTGCCTGGGGATCCAGGAGGGTGACTGATTGTTGGGCGAGGGCTACTCCCTCTGGTCCGGCTCCTCGTGGTTCTCTTCCCTGTCGTCAGCTCTGTCCGTAGGTCTGGACCAGGCAGGGCGTTTGGAAGAAGGGCGCACGGTAGACCTCCAGGTCTCTGTGAGGTGTCAGTGGTCCGAAGGCTGATTCACACTGACAGACTCTTTAGTTCAGATGCATTGAACTCACCTAAAAGTGTTCAGAAAGGCTAAATATATGGACCTGGGAGTCAAATCTTGACTATGCCACTGGCTGACTCAGTGTCCTTGGGTAAGTTTCTTCTTCTCTGAGCCTCTGCTTCCTCGCCTAGAGTGTGGGAGTGACAGTATCACCTCCCTGGATGTTGTAGCAGTCGGGTGAGAGAAGGAACGCAAGATGCTGTGCGCAGGTTTTCAGAGGCCCTCGTTTAGCAGGTTCATCTCACTTTTGTAGTATGATTGGGACCATTTGACATAGGCCCCTGTATCTTTCTCTCCACCTGTGGGAATCGACCTCTAGTTCTGCTGTCTTTCCCACTTACAGGACAGGGAACTTGTTATTACTCCAAGCTCTTTAGTGGAATCAGGTGATCTCCAGAAGAAAGGAAAAATTCCTCAGCATTTTACCCAACACCTCTGATCACTTGGGTCCTGCCTTTACCGCTTCCCACCCGGTGTCCCCATCAGATGCAGGGCTGTTTTCGGCTCCGTGCCTCCTTGTAACCGGTTCTGTGCTTGGGAGTCTGTCTTGGTGAACACCAGGACTTGGTGTTCTTGTCCTCCTTCTCTAAAGCCCTTGGTCTGTCAGATACTTTCCTCTTCTCTTCTCTTACAATAGGAAAGAAAGCCTATTGTGCCGTTCTCTTTTTTATAGTATTCATGGTGGGTCTTAGTTTGGGTTGCTGTCACCAAGTACCACAGACTGGGTGACTTAAACAACAAATATCTATTTCCTGTAATTCTGGAGAGTGGACGTCTGAGATCAGGGTGTCAGCATGGTTGGGTTCTTTGTGCATAAACTCTTCGTGGTTTATAGAAGGTGGCCTTCTCGCTGTCTCCTCGAATAGCAAAGGGAGAGGGAATTCTGCTTTCCTTATCCCCTTGAAAGGACACCAACCCCGTCACGGAGCCTCTGTCCCTGTGATCTCATCCAAACCTAGTTACGTCCCCACGTCAGCACACTGGGGTTTAGGCTTCCAGGTACGACTTTTGGGGAGACACAGACACCCAGTCTGCACCTGGTGCGTTTCACTCATTTGTTCGCGGGTGTTCTGGGGGACCACGCCCCTGTGGAGGCCTAGCTCAACTTGGGTTAACTGAAGGGCATTGTAGAAATAAATTCACCTAGTGAATTGTGGTACATGGATTCTTGGGGGATATTGTATACTCTCTTTCTGGGATGGAAAAGTCACTTTTGTAAAGAAAACAAAGTAGCCTTATTTATCAGAGTAAGGACTGCCTGAGAAGTGAATTGGTTTTGTAATTCTTAGATAAGTGATGCCTGAGAAATGAATTACGATCAGTAATTTCAGTTCATATTTTTGTGTATTTCAGGTAATGGAACTGTTGGTCCACCTGAACAAGCGTATAAAAAGCCGCCCCAAAATACAGCTCCCGATCGAGACGCTGCTGGTTCAGTACCAGGACCCCGCCGCGGTTTCCTTCGTTACAGTGAGTGTTTGTCTTGGAGCAGTTTCTGACTTAGAGTAGTTTTCTTCCATCGCGTTTATCAGGTGTCATCAGTATATTGGCAACTTAGAACTTTACTGTGGGCTCTTTCTAAATGAAGCACGAGGCGTTTTCCTGTAAGTGACACACTGTTTTCCCACTGAGTACTGATCTGGAGGCACTGTCACCAGTGAGGAGAGGGTAGGAACGGGTTCGTGCCGGGGGTGCTTGCACTGGGAAGGGAATGTTGGTGAAATGAGTGACTCGCCAGATATCGTGATCTTTAAAAGAATGACTTGATTCTTAGTGAAAGATTACATGAGACTAGTATGAACAGAGAAAAGAGAAGGGTTATGTAGCACGGACTCGAATAAAGGGTAATAGAAGAAGAAAAGGGAAGGCTAAAATTTGAAAACATCGGTGTTTCTGATATCTGTAATATATTTAGGAAGGTGCCCTTTAAAAAATGGGTTAAACTGAAGCTGGTTTGAAATATTCCTCTTGCATTATTGTCTTCACGAAAATTTACTGTAGAACAATGTTGTGTGAGGGCAGGTGGCGCTTTTTTCCTGGCGCTTGTAGTTTCCTGGTGGGTCTGAGCGAGCATCTGGGGTTCAGGCCTGTGGAGCCACCTGCTGGTCCGACGTCCGTGCCTGCCGTGGATGTGGGCCTCCGCCGCAGGTGTCCCTTTCTCTCAACACGTGGGAACGCTGGGTGCCACTGAAGGTGCCAAGTAGCATGGCTTTGAGGAAAGGGATGACCTTGTCGAAGGGATTTAGAACTACGAATTGGCGGTTACAAAACACTGTCAGTAATATTGTAAGAGGTGGGTGTGTACTCGAAATATTAGGGGGACGATGTTGTGAAGTATATAATTGTCTAACCACTGTGCCGTACACCTGAAACTAATACAAAGTAATCTTGAATGTAAACTGTAATTGAAAAATAAAATTAACAAAAAGGAGGGGAGTCCCGACCAGGTGGCCCAGTTGGTTGGAGTGTCGTCCTGTACAACCAAAAGGTTGCAGGTTCGATCCCTGGTTGCTGTACCAGGGTGTCGGAGGCGACCAATCAGTGTTTCTGTCTCACATAGATGTGTCTGTCCCTCTCTCTCCCTTTCACTCTCTGAAATCAATCAACATATTCTATAGTGAGGAGTAAAAAAATATAATAATAATAAAAAAGAGAGGGATAACCTTATGAAGTATGTTCTGAAGTGAAGAATCTTTCTAAAAAGCAGATCTTTATATTATGCGTAAAGCCAGATAAGCATTGATGAGTTTGCTTAAAACGAGGCTTTCACAGAGGTTACGGTGACGCAGTCGTGCTGACGGCACTCGGCTCCCTGGCCCCTCGTCCAGTGCTGAGCTGTTGGAGTGGGGAACCGCTGTGCTGCGCTGTACGGAGGGTGTTGCAGAGACAGACCGGCGGGGAAGGGGCAGCCCGGGCTGTGTCGTGTGGTCTCTTCTTAGCTTGAAAGGCTTGATGCAGCGAACCGGGGAGATACTAGTGCGTAGTGTGTGGGTTTAGAGCAAATGACGACTTTGTTCTTTTCAGTGAAAGTAATTGCATCTACGAGTACTTCCCTCCCAGCTTTACCGAGGCATAATTAGCAAATAAAGTTGTATATATTTAAAATATAGTGTGATACTTTGATATATGCGTACATGAATGTTTTGGGTTGGGAGTTGCTCCCTCACATGAAGCCCATCCTGAAGCAGGCGTTTTGAAGAGATGGGGATGGGATTCATTCTGAAATCTAATAGTTGGTTAAATCAAAATAGACATGGGATAACATGTGGAAGGAGATGTGATTCATTTGTTACAACTTCCTAAGTTATCAATCATATGTTGATGCTGAAATCCTAGAGTACCTCCTTCACACTCGCTCGCTTTTCTCTCATTGCTATAGAACTTCACTATAATTTATGTTAAGATGGGCTACCCTCGCCTGCCGGTGGACAAACAGTGTGAACTGGCACCCACGCTTCTCACTGCCATGGAAGGGAAGCCTCAGCCACAGCAGGACAGGTACGCCTCCCTCAGTTATGTCCCAGCCAGGGGGTCAGTCGCGGCCATTCAGCATCAGGGCCACACCTTTGGTTTCATCTGAGCTCTTGCAGTTGACAAGTGATCAGATTTTCTGTGTTACCCCAGCTCAACATGATTGCCTTGTTAATTCTACTATAAAATTTCTTAATGCAAGCATTTTGAAAAATGTGCAGAGCTAACATCATTTTTCTCAACCTAAGTGCATTTTTATCAGTGATTTTTGAAGCAGCTAATTTTTTGTGATTGCAAAAATGAGAGTTATAAAATACTTTTCATCAACACATGTCTGTCTTGGGCAATATAAAGTTTCAGAGCAGTTTTCTTAAGGAACAGATCACTTGTTTATATTAATATGGGGCTTGGAGAAGTGGACAGGTTTCAATAAGTTCCTGTGTTTCTAGGCTGAGCCCAGAGTCCCGTCTGGTCGCTGTGTGGTGGTGAGCATCATCGAGAAGTTGTGGAGAAAACATGGAGTTAAATAATGGTTTCAGCTCACCTTTTTAGAATACACACATTTTATAAAGAACAACTGTAATACAGATATTTACAAGTGAAGTTAATAAACATTAACAAGCATTATTTGAAATTGCTTTTATATGTTTTGAGAATAGCAAAAGGTGTTGTGAGAGATGGAATTATTGAAGTTGTGTTACTTAAATTCGTAGTGGAAATTCTAATCTTATATTTCAGATATTGACATGATTGATTGTTACCCTCTTTAGCTTTAGAATAACTTTATTTAATTAACTGGGAAGGAAGAATTTTTATTGCAGGGACATGTTATAAGTTGAATTTTACTTAATGTTTAATATAAGATCTCTTGTGCTGACAGGTACTAAAACTGAACCTATATTATGTACATTTTTTTCTGGTGCCTCTGGTGATGAGCCTGATGGGCTAAATGCCAGTTATTACTCAATACACTGAAATGTCAATAAGAAGGGAATCTAGGCCCAGCCCTAAGTTAGGACTTTGTAAGTTAATGGTATTGAGAGTGAGTGGCCCTTGCTATAATTGCCACTTTTTGTTATGCGATTTTTGTTTTGTTTATTATTTCATGTATAAGAGCTGTGCTTTTTAAGTAGTTGCAATAAATGTAATTGTTTTTTCAGCTTAATGCATCTTTTAATACCAACCCTTTTTCACATGAAATACCCTGTTGAATCATCAAAATCAGCTTCTCCATTCAATCTTGCTGAGAAACCAAAGACCGTGCAGCTGCTTTTGGACTTCATGCTGGATGTCCTTCTGATGCCTTACGGGTGAGTCGGAGAAATGAAGACAAAACGAGGCAGCTGTGTTCACAACTGCCTTTAACCGTGTGGAGCTAAGTACTATTTTCAGTGATCCAGCTTGCCCTTGAAAATGGGTGAGTCGCGGACTTTCTGCTGTGGCCCTGACCTCTTTCGAACTCCAGCCGCACGCACTGCTTACTGACCTTACAGGTGTAGAGTTGCCGTTGTGATGTCAGACTCACCCTGTCCAAGCTGACATCAGCTTTTCTCCGTACAAGTTGTTCCTTCTCTTTACTCGCTGTGATGGTTCTGTGGTACACGGTGGCGATTCTCTTGGCCACGTAGGTGCACAGTTGTAAGTTGCCTCCAGCTTTTCTCTTGCTTGTTGCCACGACATCAGTTCCACAGTGCCTCCCCGCCTCTCCTCCACGTGTCCTGGACTTGGTCCCACTTGTGGCCGTCTAGTATTGGCTCTCTTCAGCTGTTGTCGCCGCTTTCTCCCCAGCTACTCTTCTCTGAAACTCTCTGCACTGCCACAGAGTTTCCCGATTTTTAAAGCACAGATACCATCAGGTCACAGCTTAAAGTCCTTGGGCCGTAGTTTTTAGTCGCACGTGTCCTCATGTATTCACGCACTCTTATGGGTCCTTGCCTTTCTATGTTTTAAGAGGATACAGTTTGCTCTGATTAGAATGCTTCCTCCATCAAAGAAAGAAAGAAATACTGAAAGAAATAGTGGCTAAAAACCACTTTGAAAAAAGCATCTCAAAGCAGCTTAGATGTCAGCTATGTGTACCATTAATCACCCATCTGTAGGTATGGCCACTTCGTGTTTTTATTGCCTTGTTCACATGTCCGTCTTCCCTAATATACTGGAGCTCCTTGAACAAGACCTCTTTTCTCTGGCCCTGGTCCTGGGCACAGTGCCCTGGTTGTGGCCTGCTTCCAGCCTGCTTGTTTCCTAGGCTGTCCTGATGCCAGAGAGGTTTTTCTCAAATACCGTAAGGTTGGCGTGTGCTGCTCCACACCATCCGTCTCTCAGTCTGGACACAAGAGTTGGTGTCGTGCGGTTTCTCTCCTCCCCAGTTTGCTCTCCTCCTGCCTCTCTAGCTTGACGGCTTTATCTTCTGGCCCTTGAGACATTTCCAGTGACCTCTACCTGTGTACTTCCACTGCCTCTGTCGTACCATTTCTTATGTCACCTGGTGACATGTCAGATGCTGTGATGTTATGGTCCCACCTGCTCCGGGCGGCAGAGACCTCAGGCTTACACCTCCTTGTGTTCCTGTGTCTCGTGTTTAGGAGGGTGTTTCGTGCAGTGCTAGTGGTTCAGTAGTGATTGATGGACTGACTGACTGCCACTGGTCTTGCTGTAACTTCGAAGTCAGTGAATAACCTCCTTTATACTTGTTAAATCGGGAGGCAGCCAGACTTGCCCGGTGATGATGGCTTTGGTCATTAAACTTTGAAGTCCAGATTTAACGTAGTCACATGATGTACTTAAATCAGTGACTCCTCAGATTGCTCCTACCAGCAAGAATTTGCCTTGTTTGTATAAAAATAAAGTGATTCCTTAACAGGTTTCTTTTTTTTTTAAAAGATGAATTTAGGAATTGAATGAATATGTATATAAGTAATGTGGTATAATTGACTATTCCATCAGGATCTGAGTGTTTTCTTTAATTTTTGTTATAATGGGTATTTTATTTGGATATTCAGTCTGATGATTTGTCAGCATATGCTTTTAGAATTTGAAGGAACTTAATATTTATATAGAAATTTTTACTGTGTAGGAATACCAGTCTGATTGGATCAAAAAGAATTTACCAGAATTCTTATTTTTAAACTACGTAAACTAACAATGGGATAGAGCGATAAATTAAATCATTAAAAGCTGTGAAGGGCTTTGAACTTACGGTGGGAGAAAGTAATTCTCTTTTCATCTTTGAGTCTGTTTTTATTTTACGAACATTACGTGCTTCTGGGTTAAGTGGTTTTAGTAAGTTTTATAACACAGGGACATAAGGAGTTCAAAAAGAATTGAAAGTGAATTGCAAGTTAGAAATAGAAATGACTGTAAAAATATTCTCTGCTTTGAGTATAGAGCAATAGTTTTTTTATCCACCCCCCCCACTCCGTAATCAACAAACATTTTTCTCTATTTGCCAAGTAAAAACTCAGAATGCAATGAGTTTGTAGTGACTCTTAGAACAATAGTTTATAGATCGAGGATGAACAAAATACTTACATTTATTGTTGGTAACTATTATAGTGTGTTTGTAACCAGGTCGAGCAAATGCACTCTTTAATTTACTGAAGATGTAAATACCTGTTTTAAATACCTTTAACATTTTTCTTTGGTGACGAAATTCTACTTTTAAGTGTTTATTTATCCAGAAAAATTCTGTGTGAGGAACGTATATAGTTGAATGTATTATATATGAATGCGTACGTATGTGTTTTAACAGAAGATAAATTTCTGTTTTTTCCCCAGATATGTATTAAATGAATCCCAGAGTCGCCAAAATTCATCCTCAGCACAGGGTTCTTCTTCAAACAGTGGGGGAGGTTCTGGAATCCCACAGCCTCCCCCAGGAATGAGCTTCCACGCAGCGAAGCGAGTTATTGGTGATAACCCCTGGACCCCGGAGCAGCTGGAGCAGGTACCGCAGCTGCAGGGCCCTGTGCACGGGCCCCTCTGCGGTCCAGGGAGGCATGTGCAGCGGGCACAGGCTTTGTAGTGAAATACGTTTGAGAGGGGCCGCTCATGGGATGCGTTCTCTTCACCGTGTCAGCTGCTTGTTCGAACCCCAGGGAAAGGGAGGGGTGGGAAGTGCTTTCGGTTTTTCTAATATTGATTACATTTCAAGTGTGAAATATAGCACGCCTATAAATTGAGTATATTGAGCTTTTTTTAGATTCTGGTTTTAAGTTGTGGGTTTAACACTTACTTAGCTGCTTTGGTGCAGTTAAAATGTAATTTACTCAGCATGTTTAGAGCTGTACCTTTTGTGTAGAGGAAGGAGCTCCTGTAGCCACAAGTGGCAGTGTGGGGGAAAGCATGCCTCCCTTTGGTATTTCTTCCTGGGAATTTAAGAATTGGCATGAAGAATCCTGTTCTGGATTTGAACAGGACACAGATGTTCTCTGAGCAGCTCTTTAAAAAAAGCCTGGAGCTCTGCAGAGAAGGTGCCTCCCTGTGTCGGTGCTGCCAGGCACCGCAGGGAAGGGCGGATGGGGTCAGGGTGCGACCGTGAGGAGGTCCGGCAGCGGGGGTCCGTCTCCCAGTCCTTCCTCTGTCCCTCCATGGCAGTGGGAACGATCTGGTCGTTTTCTCTCTGGGAACATGAATGGTCACTGCTCAAAACAGTGTTCCAAGGAGAGGGGAAGAGGCAAGTGGGACATTCTTGCCACTCACAAATTTATGGAAGGATTTGTTCAGCAAGGGCTGTGTGCAGTTAGATTTACTTCTTCATGTTTTATAGATTTTTTTTCTCATTAAGCCATGATGTAAGAAAGAAAGGTAAATAGTAACAGAAGCTCCTCTTTATTGAGCGGGAGCTATACTTTGAATTCATTATCTCATTTAATCCTCAAAGTAACCCAGTGGGACTCGAAATTTTGAGTTCCATTTTGTAAAAGGTTTTGAGATTCGCCACGGTCTCATGTCTAGGACTAGGCTTTGAACCGAGGTCTGTCTGAGGGCTAAAGCTGGGGGTGCCGGAGAGCAGTTGTTAACATTCAACTGTAATTTGTGTTGGTCAGTATCTGCTCGTTTCTAAGGGTCTCTGTGTGTCTCTTGTCCTCAGTTTCATAATCTAGTGTTGAGAGGAACAGTGTAGCTTCAAGGATGAAAGCTGTTTTCCTCTAAATTTTAAATCTTTTTTGTTTTACAATTTTCCTTCCAGATAAACAGTTTTTGTTTTGATAAAGTTAACAATAAGGTACAGATTCAGTTAGTCCAGAACATTATAAAGAGAAGTTAAAAGTGACCCGGGATCCTGCCACCCCAGTTTGCCGTTCATCCACAGCCTGAGTTGTGTGTGTACACACAGACACAATTGTGTTCCGTGTACAGGGTCCGGCACAAGTAACGCCCCCCTCGTATTACAGAGTCTCTTATTACAGAATCATAAGTGTGCAATTGTGTGACATACAATATCACACTCAAGCACACCATATGACATTTTAGGTGAAATGTTGAAAATAAAACTATATATCATTACACCCATATTATTACCCTGCCAACCACACTCAAGCAGGCCTGACTTCTGCCGGACCCTGTGTTTTTACATATCATGCAGTGCATTGTTTGTCGTTCATTTTTTAAGATTAACAGTGCCGTATTTTTCGGACCATAAGATGCACCTAGGTTTTATAGGAAAAAAAATTTTAAAGCAAAAAAATGTGGTAAAATATTTAGTAACATAATATTTCACCAGTATGAATGTAAACAGAACTCAACAGCAGCATTAACAACCATTATTCCTCCCAAATTTGGGGGAGGGCAAGTGCATCTTATAGTCCAAAAAATACCATATATCAAGTTTTTTAAAAATGTCATCCCTTTTAATGTCTGTATACAATTTAATTATATGTAACATAGCCTTCTGTTGGTGGACATTAGTATTGTTTTCAGCTTTCTTTGAACTTTTTTTTTCTTTTTACCTTTGTGTATTCTTTTGTATTTTGACTTTCATATCTGCCTTTTTTTATGTCTTAAGTAAATGTTGGAGTCTTTTCTATTGTAACTCTCCTTACAAGTAAGTTGTGTTGAACAGGAAGAAAGGCAGGCATTTTTATGATGTTTGTATACCTTTTTAAATTGTATCCTTTGTCATTTAATAATTTTAAACTATATCACTTCTAGTTCATATACATAATAACTGTTGTGTCACTGATTTCATAAGGTAAATACAAAGTTTTACTACCCAGGTGTATTTATTTTAGAGTTGTTTTTAGTGCAATTCGTAACTACTTTACATTGCATGAAGTTCCAAGCAGAATCTCTCTTTAGTCTGGGTTTCATTTTAGCCATTTAATTGCACTGCATACTGTTTGATGAGAAATTCACTTGCATTGAGTAGTGTATGTTTCAAATCAGATTGTTTTCGGCATGTAAGAATATTGAGGACAAGAATTAGTATTTTAACAATGGAGTGGAACTCCAAGAAATGTTGAGTTTAGTTCCTTTTGAACTGACATAAACCATGAAGTACTTTATTTCTAATATATCACCATTCTTATCTGGAGGCTCCAAATTTGGACTTCAGTTCAAGGTTTTGTCATTCTAGAGAGGCCGTGTATTCTAAGTTAGGAAGGCTGTGTATCATAATTGTGTTGGAGTCTTAGAGACTTGGGCTTGCATCCTGCCTTCATCACTTAATATCTAACTTAATATTTTAAGCCTCACTTTCCTCATCTGAAAGATGGGTATGATAGTACCTCATATACCCTTCGTAACAGTATGGATGGACCTGGAGAACATTATGCCAGTCAGAGGAAGACAAATACTGTGTGATTTCACTCATATGTGAAATCTAATGAACAGACTGAACTAACAAGGCAAATGGGGACAGATTCATAGATGGAGAGCAGGTGACAGCTAATGGGGGGTGGGGCAGTTAGAGGGTAGAGGGACTGAGCAAAAAGGAGAAAGGACTCATGGACAGGACAACAGGCTGGTGATTGCTGAGAGGGAAAGGGGTATAGGGCACTAAATGTTAATGGAAAAGATGTGATAAGGAACTAAATCAGAAAACAAAAACAACAACAAAAAATATCTCAGAGACTGTGAGGATTAAATGAAATCGTGACTCTGGGCCTTAGTACAGTCCCTGGCACATTTAAATAGGAGCTGCTACTCTCGTTACTATTAATCCGTGCTTTGTGGCCCTGCCGATTTGTTAAACAGTGTTTGTGGTTGGCGGCTTTCGTTTCTCTGATCGCCGTGTCTCCTTCCCTTCGTTTGTCCACAGTGCAAACTGGGCATAGTTAAATTCATAGAAGCTGAGCAGGTGCCTGAACTCGAAGCGGTCCTCCACCTGGTGATTGCTTCTAGTGACACGCGCCACAGCGTGGCCACGGCCGCGGACCTGGAATTGAAGAGCAAGCAAAGGTAAACTGCACCTCTTTTAAGCTCTCAAAGTTGGAAAGAGGCTGGGTCTCGGAAAGCTAGCTCAGCGCAGATTCGTTCTTTTAGGGTCTTATGTAATGAAACACTCAGTTCATGAGATTATGGAGTGTACTTAATTTGTAATGAGGACAACTTGCTTAAGAGCAGAGTTCTGTGTAAGAAAAAGAAGAAATGCTGGTTGGAGAAACAGTTAAACCCGGAAGGGGTCAGGATATTACCGTAAGAAGTGAGACCTTAGGCTAGGAAAATGAACTTAAAGAACTGATGTGAAGAAAAATGTCGTTTTTCTTAGTTATCATTTTTTATTTTCTTCTACCTCAAACCATTTGAGATGGTTTTTGATAAAGGATGTGTAAGTATTATGGTTAATACAGTGTAACTCAGATCCCATGAAAGGAGATGCTGAGTAGATGTTAATTCATGTAGGAAGAAATGCACGTGGTAAATAGTTTCGTAGAAAATACTGTGTGTAAGACATCAAATTGATGCAAAATGAAACCATGGTGTACAGGTTGTACCCATTGGTAAATAAAATTGTGTAACAGTTGATAAGCCCTTTTAAGTTTCTGTTGAAAGTACTATCCTTATGTCTTGTTGATTTGTGTTATTATTTGAAACAATTTTTGGAAAGCAGTTTGTAGTAAGTAATGAATGAAAAATCTTTATAATCTTTTATCTAAATCTTGTGGGAATTTATCTTAAGTGAATTATTTAAAAGAAAAATGATTATACTTAGAAAAATATTATAAATTGCTTATTATATTCCTCTAATAGAAAATGGAAAAATCAGATTTTTATAATAGGGGAATAGTTAAGTAAGTTAGCTATGTGTATCTATATGGAATACTATATAATTGCCAAAGTAATTATAAAAATAATAAAGCAACATGTAAATTGCCTCCAAGTAATGGTAAATTAATAAGTCAGAATACAAAATGTTATATTTACTGATTTAAAAAAATGATATGCAAAGATTGAAGAATAACAAAAAAATTAAAGGCAGTTGAATGCTGATAAGGTAATAAAGCTTTGTAAAGGCTCCATATATTGTAGTTTTCTCTTTCTGAAGAAACTGGTACAAGTAGCTGTAACAGTGTAAGGAAATTAACCTCACCGTGTCTGTGGTGTGCGTGTTGAACACGAGCTAGCTGTGTGTGCGGTGGCGGTGGGAACGGTCTGCCACTGAGGGGCACGCGGAGTAGCGGGTTTGTTGTGGGGTTGGTTCTGGCCATGCCTCTTGCTGAGGCTCTGAATTTGGAAGACTCACTTGACTTTGCCAGGCCTTGGAAAAAGAAGAAAGTTGGACTAGAATGTACTTAACATTCCCTCCCCCACACCCAAGTCTAAAATTCCTTCATGCTCCTTATAACTGTTTTTTTTGGTATCTGTTTTGAAGAATTTCTTTGGTTTTGAAGTGTCCAAATTCTTTCCTTTAAAACTTCTCATTGTGTTTGAGTTGGCTTCATTTGTTTTACCATATAGTGGATTGGATTGTTGGGAATACAAATATGGTGCTTCAGTGTTAGTTTTGGTTCTATTAAGTAAGTGTGTGCATTTTTCCATAAAATAACATGACATTGTTAAGAGGTAAAAAGCAAGGTGAGAACAATATACAGATATTATCCCATTTCGTTAAACAAGAATTCCAAAGTACCTCTTCAAGCGCTGCATCTGTTGATCTATTTTTAAAAGTCTGTCTGTGTGCCATTCCTGTCCACCTACTTTGCATGCATAGGAGAGAAGTCCAGAAACAGACATACAGCAAAGTTAGTGGTTTCCGAAAAGGGAATAGAGAAGGACGTGGTGCAGATTGTAAGGAGTTTTATTTTCTATGTTGTTTTTGAATTTTTACAACAACATGTAGTGCAGAAAACTGAAAGTAGAAAGGTGGCAAGAGGAAGAGCAGAAGGAACAGTGGAAATTATCACTAATGGTTAACCACTATTAAGTTTTAAGTTTTTCCTTTGTTTTACTAAAGTGTTTTGCCAAAAATCTCTAAACCTGCAGCATTTCTAGAAGGGAGTGGCGGTGGAGCTTGAGGATTAGTTAGTAGCAACCCGCTGAGGAAGGACGTAGGTGAATGATAACTAAGCTGTAATGGAGAATGACTTTGAAGACCGTGAAATTGTGGATATACAGAAAGGAGGCAGATTAACAAGCTATTAATAAAGAAGAGATGGGTTAGAAAAATGGTTACAAGGCAGCAGGGTGATTTGTGTTTGCACAAATAAAGCACACCTTGAAAGCAGAACCAATGTCAGAAGGCAGAGAGAAGGCAGTGTGGTTAGATCTTGCTAACCGAGCAGAAGGCGGGATTGCAGTCATTGTTGCTAGGTTTTTACAGTGACTGGGCGGGTGCTGCAGAGGGCGGGTGTCAGCCACCAGTCACATGATGTGCTCATTCACCATTCTGCGGGGCCCAAGTAGGAATTTGTCTTAGTGACCCTGGCGGCGTGACTGACCGCTCTTTAGAGTTAGATGCTAAGACTGCATGTGTGTGCTGGTAGGTAAGAATTACAGTGACATAATATAAGGAAAATGTGATGGCTGTGCGCTTCCTGAGGTTGTGTCCTTAACGGGCAGAATTTTTTTGTCACCCTCCTCATCACTTTTGAATTTCCAAGTGAGTGTGTTTCCAAGCGATCGAGAGCAGATTCGTGCTGACTCTGTTGAGTCAGGCTGGGATAAGGGATTTTTTTTTTTCTGTTTAAAAACTAACTTTGGCCCTGGCTGGTGTAGCTCAGTGGATTGAGTGCAGGCCTGCAAACCAGAGGATCGCGGTTCGATTCCCAGTCAGGGCACATGCCTGGGTTGCAGGCCAGTTCCCAGCAGAGGATGCGCGAGAGGCAACCATACATTGATATTTCTCTCCTCTCCTTCCCTTCCCCTCTAAAGATAAATAAATAAAATCTTTAAAAAATTATTTAAAAAAACCTAACTTTGATGGAAGTTAATCTCTTTCCTTCTCTTCTGTAATGTCAGTTGTGCATTTCATTTGTGTGTTTTTAACTGTTTCTGTTGGTAACAAATGCTGGGGCTGTGATTTTTTGAAATCACTGAAGTGAGAGAGAAAAAAATTAACACATTGTGTTGAAACCTTCTGTAGCTTGATCGACTGGAACAACCCCGCCATCATTAATAAGATGTACAAGGTCTACCTTGGAGATATTCCACTGAAGACGAAAGAGGTAGGTGTTGGTCGTCCGCTCTCACACCGTCATAAAAAGCGCTCGGTTGACAGGAGCTCCGTGTCTTGGAGCGTTTCTTCGCTATTCATCTTGACTGAGGCTGAACCTGAGCTGTAGGAAGTAGTAGTTTTAAACCACGCTGGTCCAGGCAGATTAAAACCCCCTGGTTAACTGAGTTTACCTGATCTGGTGTCTTCAGTTCAGGTGCGTGAATAACGATGGTTGTCTGGATTAGGGATCAGTGAACTCTTCTGTCTCGGTGTTTTGGGCTTTGGTGGCCGCGTGGCTGCCACCGCCCGGCCCTGACGCAGCAGGAGAGCCGCCGCAGGCCGCACGTGACTGCGTGAGCATGGCTGTCTCCCCAAACGACTGTAGGGGTGCTGAGATGTGGATGTCGTGTGATTTTTATGTATTGTGACATGTTCCTATTTTTAAAAAATCATTTAAAACCGAAAAACTGTCCTTGACGCACAGGCCTTACTGAGGCAGATGCTGGGCCCAGTTTGGCCCAAGGGCTGTACTGTGTTGGCCCCTGGTCGAGAATCCAGGCAGCGATTTTCAGCCTTTTTTGTCTTCTGGCACACGTACACTGATTACTGACATTTTGCAGAACAGCAGAAAAGTATTTCTGGCTCATCTGACAAAAGAGTAGATGTCATTTCGATTCGTTCACACTGGATGGCTTTTGTTGTGCTGGCTGTTGTCATTTTTTGGTTTGACAGCATGAGGGAAAAGAGATCAGTGCCCCTGCCTCTAAATGGTCAGATGTTGCATGTTTTAGAAATTCACGTGGTGCACCAGTTGAAAATCACTGATCTAGAGCACAGGTAGGTTCTTCTGAAGCCTGGAAGTAGCATGTTTGCTTAATAGCATGTTATGTTTAGTGCAGTGCGTTTAAAAGTGTTCCAAGTCCAAACCCAGACATATGAGGATTATTTGCTTGTTTGTAAACAGTGAAGAGTTGTTTTGAAAATCATTGTTAGCTCCAGTTAGATTAAACTGAGTGTGATGTAGCCGAGAGAACAATGAATTGGGAATTGGGTACCACATGCCTGTAGTGGCTGCCCACAGTAAATGTTCTGTGGAGGAGATGTTGGGCTAATACTGAACTTCCCTGGTCCTCATGTTTGCTGTGTAACAAACCTAAGGGGCTGCATTAGATCAGTGGTTCTCAGAGTGTGGTCTGTGGACCCGTATTGGATCACAGAGAGACTTGTAGGGTCCAGGAAGGCACGCAGTTAATGTTTGCACCGACCGTGCAAAAGCGGTGGGAGGTGTGCCTGCTGGGTCCTGGCAGGAATCAGAGCTGTGTCACTAAATAATGTTAACGGTCATGCTGTCCTTCACTGTTAGCATTCGTGCTAAAAAAGAAAAGAAAAAGAGTTATAAAGCCCAGCTTTACTTAAGGAGATTCTTGGTGTCCATATTGAGACACATGCTTGGCAGGTAGTTCCCTAAAATGAAAAAATGAAGCTTCAAGAAAAACAACATGATTTATTGGCAGTGATAAAAGGGGAGCTTTCAAGCAAAAATTAGAATTTGGAGAATCGTGGATTTGTTAGAGCGAGCTTGGCCGCTTGTCAGTACTTCCTGACTTTTTTGATGAGATGCATGGTATTGTTTTTCTTTTTGGGTGCATTATAAAAAAGCATAATAAACCCAGTGAGCCAGTGTTTTCCTGCTGACCAGTGATGTTACAGGAGCATACAAGGATGCTTAGCTAGACCAGTGGGATTGCGAGTAACAGAGCATGCCGAAGTTCAGGGACTCCAGATCCGAACGGCTGCTCGGCTTCAACAGGGGATTGTCCTGTTTTGGTGTAGGAACAAAGAGTATCCACAGTTACCTGAAAAGGACAAAATTACCCTCACTTTTCCATCCACGTATCTGTGTGGAGCTGATTTTTTTAAAAATATTTTTAACCAGAACAGTACGTCACAACACACTGAATGCAGGAGAAGATAAAAGAATCCAGCCCTCTTTCTATTAAGATGGACAGAGGATTTACAGAAAATGTTAAATAATGCCACTCTCCCAGTACAGTTTTTTATTTTGGGAAATAATAGTTATTTTGCTTAAATATGTTATTTATGAAAATCTGTAATGGGCTTATTAATATTATATTAAAGAAGTATTTAAAAATGTTTCAGCTTTAGCTTTAGTCAGTATTGATAGGTATTCCAACATAAACAAAAGCTCTTTGGAATCTTTAAGTGTTTAAAGATTTAATTTTTAAGAGTGTAAAAGGGATTTTGAAACAAGTTTGAGAGACCACTGATTTAGATGTTGTCTCATGACTTTTTCAATTTATAATAATTTTAAATCACTGAGTTATAATCTAAAATATTTTTTTACAGGGAGCAGTTCTGAAGCCAGAGCTGAAAAGAGACCCCGTCAGCACCAGAGTCAAGTTAAAGATTGTGCCCCACCTTCTTCGTTCTAGGCAGGCGGCCGAAACGTTCCCGGCTAACATTCAGGTAACTCGCTCTTTCGAGAGAAAACTGGCCTGTTCGCAGCCTTTGTGTTTGTGTCAGTAGAGAAAGAACTGCATTAATGGGTATTCAGGAGGTAGGCTGATGTACATAACAAGGTCAGTGAGACTGTTTTCTTTCTGTCTCAAGTTTAGCTAGAGAAATGATGAAAATTTTTAGCACACATAATACATAAATTTACCATTCACCCTAAATGCATAATGATGATCTCTTTCAAACTTGTGTTTTTCTGATTGGCTTTTCTGCAAAAATGGTTCCACTAGAAACTTGGTTACTTAAGAGGAAAAATGAGTCATTCTTAATGGAAACCCGACATACAGGTAATGATTCTGGTTCTCGATGTCTTCACCTAATGCTGATGTTCATGGACACTGTCGCTTGTTCTGGTTGTTGCAGGGCATCCTCTGCCTTGTTTCCCTGCCTGTAGCCTTGCCCACAGCCAGTCTCTTTCCTGTGTCGCCTCCAGAGATACTTCTGCAGTTAGGAGTCCTTGTACTCTTAGTGGGTGTGGGGTATGAGCCCGTCCACGAGAGCCCTTGCCCTTCACCCCGGCGAGGACCAGCTCGGCTCTGGGGGCAGACAGGGCTCAGTGTGCAGCTGACCCTCGAATAACACAGGTTTGAACTATGTGGGGTCCACTTATACCAAGAAAGATTTTTTTCAATAAAAACTGTAAATGTATTTTCTCTCCCTGGGGATTTTCTTAACATTTTCTTCTTCTAGCTTAATTCATTGTAAGAATGCAGTGTTTAATACATATAGTATACAATGTATATTAATTAATTGTTTATGATATCGGGTAGGCTTTCGGTCAACAGTAGGTTATAAGTTTTTGTGGTTCTATATGGACTTTCTTTATTCTCACCTGAGGACGTGCTTATTGGTTTTAGAGAAAGGAGAAGGGAGGGAGAGAGGGACCCCTCCCTTTCTCCAGAGAGAAAGAGAAACACATCAGTGTGAGAGAAACATCACCAAACTCTCGACCTAGGTTTGTGCTGGACGACATATGACTAGGACTTGAACTCTCAACCTTTGGCTTATGGGACAACAGTCCAACCAACTGAACTTCACTGGACAGGGCTGTACATGGATTTTCAACTGGCCGGGTGGGGCGGGCGCCTGTGCCCCACACCCCCTTGTCTTTAAAGGGTCAACTATAAGATGTCATTAGTATTTGCTTTTTATCTTCAATAAGCATTAGGGTGTTTTCTCCTTTAAAACTTTAAAAAATCTGTGAATGGATGTGGTAATAGCTGCCTCATCGCAGCACTGCAAAGACGGGATGGGGTGATAGAAGGCTTAGAGCACAGTGGCTAGTGCTCGGTCAGTCGTGAAGTTTTTGGGAAGTGGTGACACCTTAGTGGTCATTTCTCTTCTGGTCTCACATCTCACCAGCCCTTTGTCTGTCCTGTCTCGTCCTTGTGCTCCAGCCTGAGGCTGCTGCTCTTTCTGTGGCTCTGAGTCTCCACTCCTGATGCTTCCTCTGCCTGGCATAGCTCCCCACCTGCTTCTGGCCTCCCAGGCATCTGCTCACATTTCGGGATTTGCGTGGGCCTTCCATCGGAAATGTCCCCGTTTCCTGCCTCGCTCTCTTTGAGTCCTGAAGAAAGAACACTTCTTTGTGTTCGCTGGGTGGTGGAGGCAGACTTCTGTCCTACCATCTGCCCCTTGGAAGGCTCGTTTGTTTAAATGGCTGCTTCCTCTTTCTACATGATAAAACTTTTGTTCCCAGTGTCTGGTGCTCTGATATTTGACTGATTGCAAGTACTCTGTTGTATGTCTTGAGGGAAACATAGAATTACCAGAGCTCCTTCCATTTCACTTTTTAAGCCCCGTTTCCCACGCAGTGTCTTGATAATTTTGGTTCAGAAAATTTGGTGGTAGCAACACTGAATTATATAATAAACAGCTAGAATTCTGTGCCAAAATATTCGTAGACCTCTTGTAGGTGTACGCGTTATTTGTAGTATTTTTTATATCTTGAAAATAGGTCCTAAAATTTTGTACATTCAAACACCAACTCTTTGGCCATCACCTATAAACATTCTTCCTTTTTTAATATTCTCATTCCTAATGATGGCATTACTGTTCTCCTACATGGTTGGCCCTTCCCCTTTCCTCTCCACCTGTCAATCACAGAATCCTTTAAAGGTGGCTTCTTATCCAACACCAGTAGTTTTAACTAAGGACATGTTACCTCACCTTGCTTTTGAACATATGAAAGCAATTTGCATAATTCTTCACATATAATGTGTGTACCAGGAATTTTATTTTTTTCCCACAAAGCATTAGTATTTTAATTAATTTCTTGCTTCTATTATCTGGCTATATTGTTCTATATAATATAACATTTTCACATTAATTTTCTAAAAAATGTCTTCCAAATAATGTAGCACTTGATTGTATTGGGTTGGCCCATAAGTTCGTTTAGTTTTTCTCTGTGTGATGGCTCTAGTTGTGCTTAGCTGCGTTTAACTTCATTTGAAACAATTTTGTTAGATTGCATTGTGATAGCTGTCGTATCAGCATGCATTAAAAAAGAAACCACAATCAATGAATTTTTAAAGGACATTTTATTGATTATGTTATTACAGTTGTCCTAATTTTTTTCTCCCTTTATCCTCCTCCACCCTGCACCCCCCACCCTCCAGCATTCTCCCCCTTAGTTCATGTCCATGGGTCATACATAGAAATTCTTTGGTTTCCTCATTTCCTATACTATTTTTAACCTCCCTCTGTCTATTTTGTACCTACCGTTTATGCTTCTTGTTTCCTGAACCTTTTCCCCCATTCTCTTCCTCCCCCACCCCACTGATAACCCTCCATGTGATCTTCAGTTCTGTGATTATGTTCCTGTTCTAGTTGTTTGCTTACTTTTTGTTTTTTAGGTTCAAGTTGTTGATAGTTATGAGTTTATTGTCATTTTACTGTTCATAGTTTTGATCTTCTTTTTCTTAGATAAGTCCCTTTAACATTTCATATAGTAAGGGCTTGGTGATGATGAACTCCTTTTACTTTACCTTATTCTGGGAAGCACTTTATTTGCCCTCCCATTCTAAATGATAGTTTTGCTGGATAGAGTTATCTTGGATGTAATCTTTTGCCTTTCATGACTTTGATACAGACTTTGATACAGCTTCTTGCCTGTCAGGTTTCTTTTGAGAAATCAGCTGATAGTGTTATGGGAACTCCTTTGTAGGTAAGTGTCTCTATTTTTCTTGCTGCTTTTAAGATTCCCTCCTTATCTTTTATCTTGGGTAACAATTTTGATGTGCCTTGGTGTGTTCCTCCTTGGGACCAATTTCTTTGGGACTCTCTAGGTTTGCTAGACTTCCTAGAAGTCTATTTCCTTTACCAGATTGGGAAAATTTTCCTTTATTATTTGTTCAGATAAGTTTTCAATTTCTTGTGCTTCCTCTTCTCCTTCTGGCAGCCCTATGATTCGCATGTTGGAGCACTTAAAGTTGTCCCAGATGTTCCTGCACCTCTCCTCATTTTTTAAAATTCTTGTTTCTTCTTTTTATTCTGGTTGAATGCTTATTTTTTCCTTCTATTCCAAATTGTTGATTTCAGTCCCAGGTTCCTTCCCTTCACTGTTGGTTCCTTGTATATTTTGCTTTACTTCAATTTGTGTAGCCTGTATTTCTTCCTTTATTTTGCAACCGAGCTTCATCAATTCTGTGAGCATCCTGATTAGCATTGTTTTGAACTCTGTATCAGATAGGTTATCTATCTCCTGGTTGCTTAGCTCTTTTTCTGGAGTGTTGATCTGTTCTTTCATTTGGGCCGTATTTCTTTTTCTCTGTGCCTGTTATGTTGTGGGGGGGCAGAGTCTTAGGTATTTTCCAGGGTGGAGCGAACCCCTTTGCTGTGTGTTGGCGCTGTCTGTGGGGGAGAGGTCAAAGAGGGAACTATGCCACTAGCTTATTCCACTCTATCCCCACTTTACAACAGATTCTCCTGTGAGACTGGGAGTTCTCCTGTCTTCACAATCCTTATGGTATTTTACTACTAGAGGTTTTGAGTCTCTCGTTTCCCGGTGAGCCAGACCCTCCTTGCCAGTGGGGTCCGTGGCCTTTTCCTGGGTCCTCTTCACCTGCCCTGCTGCTTGTCTCCGCCCCTCCTACTGGTCTGGATGAATGTTTCTTTAACTCCTTGGTTGTTGGATTTCCATGCAGTTTGCTATTCTGGCAGTTCTGGTTGCTTTTTGTTTTTAAATTGGTCGTTATCCTTCTTTTGGTTGTGCGAGGATGGGAAGTGTTTTTAGCTACGCCTTCGTCTTGGCTGGAACTCACAATCGGTATATTTTTTGTGTAGCTATTTAAATATGGAAGATTGAAGAAGATAATGCAACATTGTTGGCATCCTATGCTTTAATTATTTCAAGAAAGGTAAAAAAGCAACTGAAATGCAAAAAACCATCTGTATAGTGTGTAGAGAAGGTGCTGTGACTGATTGAGCATGTCAGAAGTGCTTTGAGAAGTTTCTTGGTACTGTTGTTATTTTGGCCAAATAATTATTTGCTGTGGGGTGGTCTTATGCATTGGAACATGTTCAGCAGCACCCCTGGCCTCTACCCACTAGAAGCCAATAGTGGGAGACAGCCTGCATACTCAAAATACCCAAATCAATAGAGTTATTGGTAAAAATGAAAAATGTATCTTTTATTTTATGGAAAAGGCCATATGGACTTTTTGGTCAACCCAATGTATAGTTTTATGTCATTTTTCATGTATGTACTTGACTCTTCAACAAGGTCGAGTGCCCTAATAGCAAGGCTTATTGCCTTTTCTGTATCTCACAGTCCCTTGATTAGTGTTGATTATACAGCAGATGCTCAATACTGTGTCCAGTCACTTGTTATTGTTAAGTATTCAATAATATCAGAATGCAGCTAGTAGTTTCAGGGAACAGTATGGTTTTTTTTTTAAGTGTAAGATTCTCTTTCCCATAAAAAGTAGGAATTTGAGGAGTTTAGATTTCTTTGATGTTGATGCTTAATATCTGAAACCTCTGGCTACTCCACAAGTCTCATGTGCTGTTTGCTATTTTTGCTGTCTAGACAGGACTACGTAGTACATGGAGCTCCTGTACCTCTCCTGTACACTTTAGAATGCTTTCATTTTGCCCTGGCCGGTGTGGCGTAGTTGGTTGGAGCATTGTTCCATAAACCAAAGGCTTATGGGTTTGATTCCCAGTCACAGCACAGGCCTGGATGGCAGGTTTGGTCCTTGGTCGTGGCACATACAGAGGCACCCGATCCATGTTTCTATCACATTGATGTTTCTCTCTCTCTCTCTCTCTCTCCCCCTGCCCACTCTTCCGCCCTCTCTCTTCCTTCTCCTTCTTCTCTCTCTGGAATAATAATAAAAAAAAAAAAGCTTTAATTTCTGTATTTTCCATGAGGCTTTTTAAAGTAACTTGTTCTAAGTGTAATTTAGAAACCTGATTCCCCCCAAGTGACCTTACCTGCTAGTGTCCTCTGTGTAGCCCGGCTGGCAGAGTGGCGGCCCCCGCAGCCTGCAGTCTGTGTGACTTTCTGGTGGTGGAGCCCCAAGTTTTGCAGACTGGGGGGAGCAGCCGTCGCGTTTGTCACCCCACGGACCGTTGACCGGAGCTGCTGATTGGTGTCCTCGGTGTGTCAGCTAAAATGTGTGCGCGTGTTAAAGAGAACTGTGTTCAGGTTGGAGAACAGGGTGTAGTGCGAAAGACGTGCTGTTGAATCCTCGTATTTGAGAACAGTCCATAGCTATTCCTGTTAATCGGTGTCCTTGACCGCTAGTTTCTTTCTCCTAGGTGGTGTACGATGGACTTTTTGGTACAAACACGAATTCAAAATTAAGAACGTTATCCCTGCAATTTGTGCACCACATTTGTATAACGTAAGTTTTTGGGACTATTTGACTGTTGAGTTTCCCAGCTGTTGGAGCGATCAGATGATTCAAGTGTGTCTTTTCTAGAAAAAATCATGTTTGCTCTTTAAAAAAATTCAGATTTTCATAGGTGATTTTAATTTATTTCAGTTGCTGGTAATTATTTTAAGTAATTATCTGAAAATATATGTAACTATTAAGATTCTTATCTTGCTTTGTGTGTATGTGCTGTTTTCTTTTGAAGTTGTCCAGAAATCAAGATTAAGCCATTAGGTCCAATGCTTTTGAATGGTCTCACCAAGCTAATCAATGAATATAAAGAAGTAAGTGACTTGTCTCAAATTTTGTTAATATTTTATATTTTAAAGTATTTTCTGTTAAAAACTTTTTTGGTCTACATGTTGGTTTAGTTAGTTACAGCTTGATATTGTACCATCATTTCCTAACATTTTCACTTGAAGTGGTGCAAATTGAAGAAATCACTGGCACCTTTTCCTTTTTCTTTTGGAAATAGGTGATAAAAACTGAGATGAATCTTCAGGGGTCTTATCACTTTAACATTTCAAAAAAGAAATGTGTTGTATTCTGCTTTTAGGCACTCTGTAAAATGGAATGAAAAGAATGAAATTTTATGATTTATTTCTGTATGAGTCAATTTGGATTTTCTTATATTGAGAAATAGTGTTAATTCTTAGGGTCTTGGATTTTACCGATTCAGAATTCTATCAAAACATGCATTCAGTAAATTTTTGATTCCTTAAGCTAAGTTGGATGAGGAGTTTTTGGATTACAGCATTTGAGTCCTGTTGTTTGTTCCTGCTGTGACCCTCTTACTATCTCTAGTATTTTGGGGAACTTGCTTAAAGAAGGAAGGTTTTTAAGAACACCAGTTAGCATTATTTTCCTTGGTCTTAGCCAAGCATGAATGCATGTTTGTAATAGTACAGGGATTGAGGTTTTGCTGCTTGGAGTTAGAATTGAGCTTGAATCCCGGTTTTGTTCTTTGGTGAGTCACTAAAATTCTTTGGATCTTAGTTCTTTAATAGGAAAATGAAAATAATACTACTTAATTGAATTATTTAAATGAGATGGTACGAACATTATTCAGCACAATGAAGGCACATTAGTAGATGTTACTAGTGGTGAAAAGCTGTTCATTTGCTGTGCATTTGTACTCTGGGGCCGTGTTAGGCCTGGCTGTCCCATCTTCTCCTGTGTAGTGCTTTCGTGGTTTTTAAGGCCTAGAAACAAGATGATTTTTATGGCACAGATAATCAGATGATTTGGATGGTTGGTAGAAATAAAAATGCTCTGGGGCTTTTTGGGAGAGTTTGTGTATTTAAAATTAGGGTAGCCAGGCCAGGTAAGCCACGGCTCTGAATCCCCTTACCTCCAGATGATACCTATCTGTCTTCCCAATGATGGATGCATAAAATCGAGTCCATTAGAATGGCCATCTAGGTGTGGGCGGGTGAATCCTGCGTTAATTGTATAAACTGCACCTCACGGAAAAGTTATTTTGTTCTTAGTAATCAGACAATTGGTTTACATGAAACCATGTAAAATTCGTTTGAGGAGGTGACCTCACTAGCTCACTTGGTGACTATGATCCTTTTAACTTGTTACAGTGGAAATGAGAAGTACAGATTGTGGGAGAACCAGTCACTATAATTTTGGGTGGTAAAAGGAGGATCAATTTAGCTTGCCAGATGAGCGGTGAATTTTCTAATAAGTTAATAAGCCGCCTTCCGAGTGTGTTGAAGAGGAATTTTGGTGTTTGCAGATTACACAGTGTTGAAAATATCCTGAACTTAGCGCCAGCTAAGAGAACCTTTTCATGTGTGACCACTGCATTTTCCTTTTGGAGTGTGTTGGGATAAACGTTTTGTTTGTTTTCCTTTGAGTAGTGTGATAAACTCTGGGTTTGGACTTTCTTTGTTTGTTTTGTTCAGATGTTAATATCATGCAGTTAGGCAGAGTGAGACTAGGGTTACCCAGGAGTAAAATGATGCGTATAAATGCAGCAAAAGGTTTTGCCGTTTACTGTGTTTTTTTTTGTTTTGTTTTGTCTATTTTTTGTTCTTTTTTTCTTCTTAATTTCAAGGACCCTAAGCTACTGTCAATGGCATATTCAGCTGTTGGAAAACTCTCCAGGTGAGTAAATTCTTTTTTCAGTGACAGGTACCCTGTTGGTAAACTAAGAAATTATGTGGTGTTAATAATGGAAAGAGAATAAGTTTGTCGTGATTCTGAAAGGAAATGTATTTAATGGCCATGGATTGTTTAGAAATGTCTTCCTTGTAGCAGGAAAACGATGGGGGAAATTTTAGTTTACACTTGAGGATATGCTACCATATTAAATGATAGTCTCGAAAGGAGATTTTGAACTGGATTGTGTCACAGTGGGTTCCATTTTCTTGTATCCAAGAGACATTTGATTGACCTTAAGTGTTACTCTTGCTCCTCACTACTAGTCTTTATAACCCCCATAATCAAGCTTTTGCTAGTGATTCTCTTTTCTGATAGTGTTACATTTTGATTCTGAGTGGTCCTGTTTCCAAAGATGGATTTTTTTCTTCTGCTTAGTATAATTTCCTCCTTCCAGTTCCTCCTGCTTTCCTCTTCCTTCGCCATATTCCAAAGCAGAGGTCAAGGCGCAGCATCCTCAGTGGCCCCAGGCGCTGCTTGTAGCCCTGGCGCAGGTTCTGGTTCGGCCTGTGGAAACTAGGTCTTGCTCTTCTGTTCTCTGCAGGGAAGGGGCTTTGGGACTCAGAAAAAAGCCCCCCGAGGTCAGCTGATGCAGGCAGGGTCATCAGCAAACCTTGTCCCTTGTCCTTTGGCGTGAAGTAACCAGGCCCCTCATCACAGTAGCCTTTAGTTTCACTAGTGATTTGGCCTTAATTATCATTAAAATCAGAAATGTTAACTGAATGCATGGAATACAATGAAGAGAATATCTGGATAATGTATATGTTAATCAAGGGTTACTTGGATTAGACAGTTGAGGGAGTAAATATTTGCGTGGGTAGGTAATCTGTTGATGGCGGTGTGGTCTTTAGAGGTGAAATGGCAAGTTTAGGATCATTCGTGATTAATTTTGTTTTCTTCCATCTCATGGAGATTTCTCATAGTAGCGATGGTCTTGAATCTCTTACAGCCGAATGCCCCATCTGTTCACGAAGGACATAGCGCTCGTGCAGCAGCTTTTTGAAGCCCTGTGTAAGGTAGGGAGATGCCTGGCAAGTGCATGCTTTCCATTTGGATGCTTACCTGGGAACCCAACCAGGACAGAAACGCCACTTTGTATTATCTTTATAGGAAGAGCCTGAGACTCGACTTGCTATTCAAGAAGCATTATCGATGATGGTTGGCGCTTACAGTAGTTTGGAAGGAGCACAGCGCACCCTCATGGAGGCGCTTGTGGCTTCGTACCTGATAAAGGTGGGTCCCACAATGCAAGCGCTTAACGGCTGGCAGTAGGTTCATGTTATGCTCTTAAGAACAAAGTTTGACTTGCTTTTCTCTTGAGTTATCTCGATAATATAAGAGGGTTATTTGCTTTCACTTGGACTATGATTTATGGTCTCTAGAGTTTTGATTTTTTGAGATGGAAATCCGATTTCAGGGGAGAAGGAGTAGTTAGTGATATTCAAAGAAGCTTTGTGTTTAAAACTTTCCATGATGGAAAACTGTTCTTGACATCGTGTCCTCCAGTTTGGGGGTGTTTTGTCTTAACTGGTAGCTGTGCACTACAGTCTGTGGGGGGAGTTCTCTAGGTGACGCTGGGGGAGAGGAGCCGGGGTGGGGGAAAAAAGACCAGGTCTGTCGAGCAAAGCACGTCGGTAGGAAGGAGGCCAACCCCGCCCCACGGGCTCCTCTTCTTTCTGTGCCTCTTGGTCTGGTGTCCATGGGCATTCACGCGAGAGTTGTGAGTATCTGTAGTTATGGACACACACATACACATATGTGTGCACACTTCCTGTATACAGTATAAAATAGTACACGTTTTCTCCAGTGAGTTCTTTGTCCTTCGTTTCTATGAATAGAAAGCGAGGGAGATTAGAAAAGGGAGTGACGTCAACAGTATTGGTGAGATTAACATAGGTTGCATTTTCTAATATTTGGCTGGCATATTTAATATATTATATTGAGGGAATTATTAAAGGTTCAGAGAGGTCTGTGGTATCTGTTGAGATATGACAGGGTAAGTATGTACACTCAGGAAGCTTATGTATAGAGTCCCATTGTCAAATGCTCTTGGTGAACATGGCTCGTGGTCATATATCATAGACAAAGAAGTATAGGCTTATTTGGAAGGTCAGAATACTTAAAAGTTTTTCTAGGAAACCCTACAAGGATATGTGATGCTTGTATATTGCACACGGGTGCTCTTTATATTTGTGCAGACAAATCACATAACAGTATTACCAAGCCAAAGGTAATTTATTTTCTCAGCATACATTTAAGGTAACCCAGGTACTAGGCTAAATTATATAGAATAGGTCTTAATACCATTACTCTTTTTAAAAAAATATTTTTATTTATTTATTTTTAGAGAAAGGGGAAGGAAGAGAGAAACAGAGGGTGAGAAACATCAATGTGTGGTTGCCTCTTGTGTGCCCCTAACTGGGGACCTGACCCACAACCCAGGCATGTGCCCTGACTGGGAATTGAACCAGCGACCTTTTGGTCCACAGTCTGGCACTCAGTCCATTGAGCCACACCAGCCAGGGCATTATCATTATTCTTTTAAGTAGCTGAGGGAATGCTAAAGAGCAAGAATAGCTGAATGAATGGGACAGTGTATATATTTTAATAGCTTGCATCCCACTTATGTTGTGACTGGATGAATGAATGACCTAGGCAGAACGTACATGAGAACAAAGCTTTTAGCATTGTTAGATTCTACAATTGCTTTTCTGGTTGAACTTTGTCTTCCTAGATTATTAATCTATTTAAGTTAATTGAACATATTTATGTAGTTGAAACTGTGCTTTGGAGGAAGTTTTAACTTGAGAGCTAATCTCAAGAGCTGGAGCTGTTTTGCTTCAAAGTTGTAGGGATTCTAAGTAAGCTCTGTGTTCCCAGTGGAATACCTGAATTTCACTCACGTGACTCAGAGTTTGAGAGCTGGGGAAGCAGAGGTGGTGGCCAGAAACTTTTCGCAGTGACCCTGGTCCCAAGGTTGGGCTGAGGATGCGTGTGTACAGAGGAATTCTCTGGTGATGATCTTTGTGGGTTTTCCTGCTTTACTTGGAAGGTCTTAGATCATGAAAGTGTTTTTTAAGTGATATCACTGTCCAAAGTCATGATAACACCATGATTAAAGATCATAGATGAATGCTTTGTCTTGATTATATTTATTTAGACATATTTACTGAGACAACAACTTTGATTTTTATTGTTTACAATTAAGATGACTCATCTTGACTGGAATGAGTTGTTAATTTTTTAAAAATCTGTGTGTGTTTTTTGTGTGTGTTTATGTGTCAAATAGCCTGAAGTTCAAGTTCGACAAGTGGCTGTGAAATTTGCCAGCACAGTGTTTCCCTCAGATCATATACCTTCCAGATACCTGCTCCTACTAGCTGCAGGAGACCCGTAAGTTTTCAAAGGTGTTAATTTTAATTCAGGTTCATTTTAAGTTTGTTTGAAAATTACTAAAATTATGTTTGTAATGCTGGTCTATGGAATTTAGAAGCAGTTAATACAAGAGTTAAAATTATGGCCCTTGGTATAATGTAAATCTGTAGTTATAACCTGTCTTGTTTTTGTCTGGGGGTAAAATTAAAAAATGCAAGCCATGTGACTCTTCAAACCTCATGAAATTTGCCAGAGAGAAGTAATTTCTTATAATGTATCTTATAACTCCGCTTAAGTAGCCAAGAATACATGTAAGGCATTTTCTCAAAACCCTAGCGACCAAATAAAATTGCTATTCTTTGTCTTCAAATGACCATTCTGCAATCGGTGAAATTTATTTCCTATTTTTATTTGTCTGAAAGACGGGAAGAAGTTCACGGAGAAGCACAACGAGTATTAAGGTGTCTTCCGGGTAAAAACAGAAAAGAAAGTGCTTCTAAGCAGATGCCTTCATTCCCAGAAATGGTGTATTATATTCAAGAAAAGGTATGGCATTGATAATTACAACTTCAGATAATTAGAGTTGTATAATAGATGATGAAAATAAGCATACAGATTTTAGCTGATGCATTTAAAATGTTATCACTAAGTGTTGAATAGTGGTAACGTTTCTAACAATGCCAATATTTACAGTAAGAGGAAGGTACAAAACGAGGAGAAAAATATACTTCTTAGATTGATCCGTTTTGCCCAAACCTGATTTGCTCACAATTCCTTTTATGCTCTGTATCACCTCGGCTGTACTTGAAGTTTTTTTCCTTAGTATGACTTGCTTAAAAATACATCTCCTTTTTATTTTTATGACATTATTTAAGGCACCTTGAGTGTAAGAATGATGCAGGGAGCGGTCTGGGTTTTTTCCTCTGCGATCCTCAGAGAACGTCACGTGTGCTTTTGCGAGTCTCCTGTTCTTGCCCAGTGTTCTCTGCGGGTAGAGGCGAGGGTGGCGGCAGTCCTGCCCCAGCCCTGGTCCTGTTCCACTTTACACCCCAGGGTTCCTTTGGGTGTGCTGGGAGGTGCGGGTGACCCCAGCATACTCTGCCCCTACTGCTGGTCCCTGCTCTTTCTCAGACGGACAGCGTAAGGGTGTTGGAAGCTCAGTACCAAGCAGCCAGGATTTTTTCCCCGTTTGCACAGTCCTGTGTGTGGTCAGAAGATGCCTTTGTGCTCACTTGTTCCTCCTGCCTCCATTGTTAATAAAAAGAGCTGGCGTGCCTTGGCCTCTGGCGGCGATGTTAGTGGGGCCTGAGTAGGTTTATTCTTTTTAACAAAGCCAGTGAACGCATGAGGAAGAAAATGGAACACACCCGTCAATGCAGGTTTGAGGAACATGAACAATCAGCACGATTGATGGAAAAATGTTTGACTAGAAAAAACAGTAGCAAACAGTAATGTAGCTATAAGAACTGAAGAACGCATGCGCTCCATTTTTCAGTGATTGTGTTCGTTTTGGGCTCATTTTGTTAGGCTTCTCATCGAATGAAAACTCCAGCCAAGTACATGACAGGGACCACGGTCCTTCCGTTTAACCCGGCGGCCTTCGGAGAGGTAGGGTCGGCATGCGCATTTTTTGTGTTCCCAATAAACTCCTGATGTGGGGGTCCTTGTTCTTTATGGTTGTTTCTTAGAAAAACAGTGTTGGTAATTAGTGTTATTTTAATTCATAGTAGAGTCTATAAATAATTTATCTCAGTGAGTTTCTCTTTGTGAAAGAACTGGATGCCTCCCATTGATTACTCTTCGGATTTTACAGCAAATCAGATATGAGTGCTGGCTTGTGAACCAAAGGGTCGCTGGTTTGATTCCCAGTCAGGGCTCATGTCTGGGTTGTGGGCCAGGTCCCCAGTGGGGGGTGCACAAGAGGCAACCACACACTGATGTTTCTCTCCCTTTCTGTCTCCCTCTCCTCCCCTCTCTTTAAAAATAAATAAAATCTTTTAAAAAGCCAACAATATGTTGAAGTGGTTGGGTTATCTAGTCTTGAAGATTGGAGAGTGAGATTCATTTATCATCACATTTACTGTTGGAGATTCTGTTGTTTAGTCACCGGCTGGCATTGATTACAATGACAAGAGTAAGACTACTCCCAGCGAAACCGCTGCCTGTCCTCATCCGGCTGTCAGGCAAGGCGCTTTCGGAGGGCCGCTTCGTAGCCAGTTTACATCCGAGGCTTTCATGGCGTTACATTTGCTCTTCTGTAGTGATTGGCACCGTTTTCTCAAATTCTCTTGTTAGTGGAGAGTAAATACAACTGGAGTTGCACAGGAATAGATCATTCGCCTCGGTGTTGTTGGCTCCGTCAGCCTCTCTCTCTCTCCTCCCGTCTCTCTCTCTCTCCTCCCTTCTCTCTCTCTCCTCCCTTCTCTCTCTCTCCTCCCTTCTCTCTCTCTCCTCCCTTCTCTCTCTCTCTCTCTCTCCCTTCTCTCTCTCCTCCCTCTCTCTCTCTCTCTCCCTTCTCTCTCCCCCCTCTCTCTCTCTCCTCCCTTCTCTCTCTCTCTCTCCTCTCTCTCTCTCTCCCTCCCTTCTCTCTCTCTCTCCCTCTCTCTCTCTCCCCCTCTCTCTCTCTCCTCCCGTCTCTCTCTCTCTCCTCCCTTCTCTCTCTCTCTCTCCTCCCTTCTCTCTCTCTCCTCCCTTCTCTCTCTCTCCTCCCTCTCTCTCTCTCTCCTCCCCTCTCTCTCTCTCTCTCTCTCTCCTCCCTTCTCTCTCTCTCTCCTCCCTCTCTCTCTCTCCTCCCTTCTCTCTCTCTCTCTCTCTCTCTCTCTCTCTCTCTCTCCTCCCTCTCTCTCTCTCCTCCCTTCTCTCTCTCCTCCTCCTCTCTCCCCCTCTCTCTCCTCCCTTCTCTCTCTCTCCTCCCTTCTCTCTCTCCCCCTCCTCCCTTCTCTCTCTCTCCTCCCTTCTCTCTCTCTCCTCCCTTCTCTCTCTCTCCTCCCTTCTCTCTCTCTCTCTCCTTCTCTCTCTCTCTCTCCTCCCTTCTCTCTCTCTCTCTCCTCCCTTCTCTCTCTCTGTCTCTCTCTCTCACACACACACACATTCCTTTTAACATATAATGATTTTTCCTGTAATGTTTTAGACTTTTAAAGTTGGGTTTGCATTTTAACTCCATTAAATGCCACTAAAGAACACTGTTTGGATTTATAAAAGCTTGTTAGGTAAATTTTGTTCCATTAGGGTAATTTCAGTGACTGTATTGAGTCATATTTTTCAGCTTCTGTGAAGATTGTTGAATAGCTTTACAAAGGAGGTCGGGGGATCAGAACTGCAAGTTGTCAGTTTGAAGACTGTCTTCCCACATGGCTTTTTTTTTTTTTTTTGAGAAACTTACCTGGTGTTCTTCTTCCTTCTATCTTTAGATAGTTCTGTACTTACGAATGTGCCTAGCTCACAGTGCAGGAGTGGTGCCCACCTCTCAGAGTTTGGCGGATATGCAAGATCACGCCCCCGCCATAGGACGCTATATAAGGACTTTAATGACAGGCAACCAGACAGCATCCTCGTCATCTTCCAAGAGCGGAGAAACCAACCCTGTTCAGATCTACATCGGCCTGCTGCAGCAGCTGTTAGCAGGTGTAGGAGGTAGGAGGTTGTGATGTCCAGGACAGAGATACGTGTGTATATATAGCACTCAAGGCAGAATCTAATTTTAAAGTCAGCTAAGAATTTATAGCAAAACTTATTGTCTCTCTTCACTACTGTAATTGAACATTAGTCTGTTTCTTTTCTAAACTTATCTGATTCATCCTTGGTACGTTGTTTCTCTTTTCGGAAAGAAGTGGTAATAATAGATGATGCATTTTTACTTTGGAAGTGGGTGTGAAGAACAGGGCATCTATAAAAGATCACTAGTCTGTAAATTTGCTGTGTCGAATCGCACCCTGTATTTAGGTAAATTTTTGTAGAACTGGAGAATGCCTCCTTAAGCAGCAGTCTTATCTTTTAAAGGAGTTTAATGATCCCTGAGTGTTTCTTTCTTCTTTTGAAATTAAAATCATTCTGAATTCTCTCTTATTTAGGCTTGCCAGTCATGTACTGTCTCTTGGAAGCTGTCTCAGTGTATCCAGAGAAGCTGGCTGTCAAATTCGTGGACAAGACAGAATGGATCAAAGTATGTCCTGTGCGTGTGCATTTCTCTTTGAGTCTGTGTCCTACAAACATCTGCCTCATGATTCCTGCCTTCCTGCCGGGGCTCCTGTGTGCTGTGCTGCCTTCAGTCATTTTGAAAACTCACCATCAGACGCTCACTGAGAAGCACATAGGCCATTGCATCCACGTAGTCAGAGTGGGAGAGAAATTGAGACTCATGAGTAAAAAACAATTGTCTACTTTTTAAAGTGTAATAGATTTGTATAGTTTAAGTAAAAAATCTGTGAAACGTCTTCTTTCCATAACTGTCTCCCACCGACCCAAATCCCCGAACTTCCTGTGTCCTCCCTTTCTCTTTGACAAACATACATAGGTCATCACTTATTTATAGGTGGTGTATGTTCTACAGCTTACTTATGCATATATGCATAAGTAAAAATACACGTTTTTAATTTTTCTCCTTTCTTTTACACAAGGTAGCATGGTTATTCACTTGGTTTTGTTCCCTACTTTATTTTATTTAATGCTACAATGTGCAGGTATTCCTGTATAATTACAGGGAGAGCATCTTCTTCGGCGACTTCATTGTTTTTTGTTGTTCAAATATGCCGCATTTATTTTAGATCCTTGCTGATGGTCATTTAAGGCACTTGCATTTTGTTGCAATGAGGGGTCCATTATTCTGAATTTGAGGAAGCATAGTTTTTAGTTGGAGTCCATGGAATTGGAGTGGAGGACATGTGCTGTAGCAGCCTTGGTGGTGCTCACCCACATGTGAGGTGCCTGTTCACACGCTCACCGGCTGTGTGGGGCAGTGCTCCTGTCCCATGGTCACGCCGAAAGAATTGCCACAGTTAGAGATAAAAATGCAAGACACTCAGTTAAATTTGACTTTCAGTTAAACAGTGAACAATGTTCCCAGTATAGCTGTGGTCTCCTATATTTTATGTACTTCTTGTGCTACATCATGAAGTTCTTCTGGAAATTGCAGCTTGAATTACAGTATAATGTACAGATTATCTCTTCATGTGTGAAGCACGAATGGACCTCACTGCGAGGTGTGTGTGTGAGCTTTCTGCTTTTCTGGACAATCTGCTCTCATGAAATTTCTTCTAGTGCAGAGGGTTTTTATTCTTGGTGAATATTTGCTGATTTTAAACTGATGTTAGAGTTTTTGACTTTTGATCTTGTTGATCAGGGCTCATCAAACTCCAGTCGATGTGCCAAATCTGGCCTGTTTTCACACAGCCTGAAGGCTAAGAATGGTTTTTACATTTTTAAATGGTTTTTACATTTGAAAAATAACCAGAAGATGAATAACGTTTCCTGACATGTGAGACTAGTGTCTACATTCGTTTATTGTCCGTCACTGCCTTTGCACCGCAGTGGCGGGATGGAGTGGTGACGGAGACCATGTAGCCTGTTGGGCACTTAACAGAAAGCATTTGACTTGTGTGTATGATCGTCTGTGTATTCACTTCACTTGTTTTATACTTTGTATCTGGGATGGAAATGCACAGATTTTGATATATAATTCAACTTTTATTTTGAAATAGTGTGTGTTTTTTTCTCATGCATTGAACAATGTATCATTTATTCTCTTAGTCTGAAATGTTAGATGTTATCAGAAGGAAGATGACTGTGTATCATTTATATGTATATATGTCTTTTCTACACCACTCAGAGTCTGATGAATAGCAGCAAAGAAGAGATGCGGGAACTCGCGGCGTTGTTTTACTCTGTGGTGGTGTCCACGGTGTCGGGAAATGAGTTGAAGTCAATGATAGAGCAGCTTATAAAGACTGCAAAAGATAATCATGTACGTCACCACTGTGCTCTTCATTCTCTTTTGTGGGAGGTGGAATTTTACAAAAGCATCTAATATGTTTTTAGCTCTCGTGTTCTTTTTTGTAAAATGAACTTTTATGATTGTAAAGATTAAATGAGGTAGATAATGCATTGATTGAGTCAGTTTACTCAATAAATTTGAGAGCTTTGTGTCTCTGAAAGGCACTCTGTTTGGGTTCTAGGACTGTAGTGGGGAGTAAATACATACGCTGCTGCCTATTATTGTGCCTGTTCTATCAGAAAACACTCTCAAAACCATGTGCTTTCGAATATGTTACTGCTGGCCTTGAGTTTGGAGTTTTAGCAGTTACAAGTAGTATCTGTTCATTGTGTTTGGTTGGCAGTGGGGAGAAATCAGGCTTGAACATTATGATAGTGGAGTTACGTGAGTGCTGTGAGCCAGAAGAAAGTTTGGGTGCTGTGGCAACATGCAAGAGAGCCACCTCACCCAGAGCTGGTGTGGGCGTGGGATTACGGACTCTGAGTCTTAAAGTGAAGCGAGACTCACCTCAGCTCCTTGGAATTAATTATCTGTGTTAGAAACTCAGAGTTTCTCTTACTCCCCAAGCCTGATTCGTTAGCATCCAGTAGAACCTCAGAAGATCAGTTTATTTTTTTGGCCTTGTGTTTTGTTGGAGAGATGACTAATAAACACACAGCTGTTGATTCTTGCGATTGGGAGAGAGTGACAGAGACATGTGCTGTTGTCTTGTTAAACGCAGAGCCCAGAGATACAGCACGGATCCTTGCTTGCGTTGGGATTCACAGTAGGAAGATACTTGACTAAAAAGAAGACGAGAATGGCAGAGCAAGGAGACCTGGAGACGAGTGCCGACCACCTGCCTGAGCAGGAGGAACTCATTCAGAGCGCCACGGAAACAATAGGTAATGAATGGGTTCACGCAGTTTTTAAATTGGGTTAAAAATTTTTTTACAGTAGTGAACTTTAAAGGCACAAACCTTTGCACAAAGCTTACTTGATGCTAAAAAAATTCGGTATTTTTTAAAAAGCTTATTTAATTATTGCTCAGGTACAGTTTTCTGTCTTATACTCCCATCCCAGCCCACCCCCCCCCCCCAGTGCTCCCCACCTCCCCGCCTTAGTTTTTGTCCATGTGTCCTTTATACTTGTTTCTGTGAATCCTTCCCCTTTTCCCCTGAAATTCTCTCCCCTCTGGTCACTGTCAGCCTGTTCTGTATTTCAGTGTCTTTGTTTTTATTTTGCTTGCTTGTTTGTTTTGTTGTTTAAGTTCCTGTTAAAGGTGAGATCATATGGTATTTGTCTTTCACCGCCTGGCTTATTTCACTCAGCATAATGCTTTCCAGTTCCATCCATGCTGTTGCAAAGGGCATATTCTGTGTTTTTAATAGCAATACAAATACTCTTTCTGTAGTATTTTTTTCCTGTATGGTTTTTTTTTTGATTAGAGAAAGTGTATTTTAAAGATTTTATTTATCTTTAGAGGGGAAGGAAAGGAGAGAGGGAGAGAAATATCAATGTGTGCATCTCCTTTTGTGCATCTCCTGCTGGGAACTGGCCTGCAGCCCAGGCATATGCCCTGACTGGGAATCGAACCGCCATCCTTTGGTTCGCAGGCCCACGCTCAATCCACTGAGCTACACCAGCCAGGGCCATGTATGTTTTTATACAACAGATGATTCTGTTATGGGAAAAAACTTCAAACATTAAAAAGGACACTACTCTATGCCCTGTTTCCATGGTTTTTACTACTGAGTAAAAATTAACGAACTATCAACTAGAAGACACTGTAGACTTTGATTTGTTTTACTGTCTTTTTCAAATACATATTTTATTGATTATGCTATTACACTTGTCCCAGTTTTTCCCTGTTTGCCCCCCTCCGTCTGGTATCCCCCATTCCCTGCAGTAGTCCCCCCTCCCTTAGTTCATGTCCATGGATCATACATATAAGTTCAGAGAAGTTATAATGATGTTCTGTTCTCAGTTCTGTCTAACTGTGCTTGCAGGGTCATTTTTGGACAGTACTTCGCCCCTCCTGGCGATCGCTGCTTGCACGGCCCTGGGTGAAGTTGGCAGAAACGGTCCTCTCCCAATCCCCAGTGAGGGATCTGGCTTTACCAAGTTACATCTGGTGGAAAGCTTGCTGAATAGAATACCCTCCAGTAAAGAAACAAATAAGGCAAGTGTTTTTTTTTTTTTTCCCTTCTGGAATTTTTATTCACATATATGCACATGCAAAACCACAGTTGTAGTGAAGATAGGTGGCGTTGCAGCTGGAAGGAGGCGTTGATGTGGGAAGAACGGTACAGAGGAAGGACGCGGTGACCACTGAAGTTTTAGTTAGGGGTGACTGGTACGTGACCTTTGTGTGTGCGCCATTTGACCCAGTTATTCCAGTATAGGCAGCAGCCATTAAGAGTCCGGTAAAGCATTAAGTGCATCAGGTCACTCTTTTGTCATGCAAAAAGGTCTATAGTAAAGAGGTAAAATAATTTGATGATTTTTGTTATTTCAAACCAAATTTAAGTCTTAACCTCCTGTAGCCAGTGTGGCTTTAAGAACTTCATTAGTAAGCAGTGTGAGTAATCTGTGAGAGAAAGGACACACACTATGTTTTAGTTTCAGGTAAAAATTTTCATACTTAAGAACATTTTCTTTGTGGTCAAAGCACCTCAGTGTTGAAGTATAGGATGGTTTAATGGGAAGAAAAATCAGTTTACTACAGGTTTAATAGGTATGTAATCCTGTTCTTGGTGTAGCTCCTGTTTAAATCTTTGAGAAGGTCACAAAGTGTAGTTTTTGTTTGTCATAAATAACTAATCATTACCAACCATTGTTGAGCACTTGTCATGTGCCAGGCATCTGCTAAGTGCTTCACATTCTTCAGTTAATTAAATCCTCCACAAGGTCTAGAGAAGTAGGACCAGTTGTCACTTGTGTGTTCCAGATGAAGAAACAGAGTCACACAGAGTCAATGTCACTTGCCTGAGGTCACACACCTGCCAAGGCTGCGAAAGTGATCAGGCTGTGCGATTGGACCTCAGGTCCTATGGGTCTGGAACCTGCTTCCTAACTGTTATCGTTTGAAGGATAACAAACCTGGTTAAAGGCTTTCTTCATTCTTCTTTTGCAGCTGTGGGCCCTGAATGGACTCAGTTTTACGTCTTTCTCCCTCCAGTGCCTTACAGACATAATTCTGTAAAATTGCACACATTTAAAAAACCAAACCAACCACCTTTTGCGCTGCTGCATTGTTAGACTGCCTCCCTCCTCCCGTCTCGTTTTGGAAACGTTCTTCTGGGATAAAGCTGTTATGCACTTAGTTTAAAAAAGAATTCTCTCTTTTCTAGATGAAAGAACGAGCAATCCAAACACTGGGGTATTTTCCGGTTGGGGATGGAGATTTTCCTCACCAGAAACTCCTCTTGCAAGGTCTGATGGATTCTGTGGAGGTATTTATATTGCTGTCTGATTATTAGTCATTCAAACAAAAAACATTTTTTAGTTGGAACATTACATGCTCTGAGATGTTAAATTTTAAATAAGTTATTTATTTATTCACCAAGTATTTATTGAGTGCCAGCCTTGGGCTCATCACTATGGGTTGGCATGGCATTGACTAAGTCACTTATGTGGGAAAGTCCTTTCCTCTTACTTTTTGAGGTAAGCATGGTACCGTGCGGGTAGGAGGGGAAACCCAGCCAGCCAGCTGCATGCGGGGTGATGGTGCTGGTATTCCAATTGCTCTCACTCTGGATGACGTAGCTGGGTCCTCCAATGTAATGAAGACCTGCCATTTGACAGCTGCCGACCCGGTGTAATAAGTGTCCTCGCACAGCCTGCTCTGGCCCCTGATCTGGCATTGATTCCTGTCACTCACCCTTTCGTACACCAGCCTCTGGGTCCTTTGCTCAGAGCTTTTGAAAGACCTACACTTCCTTCTTTCTTGGGTTGTTGTGTGCCCCTTGAAGAGCCTGCCTGACCCTCCGGACTAGAGTAGATTCTTTAGTTGTCTGTGCCGTCGCGACTCTCTGTAGTTTTCTTCATAGTGTTTATCAGAGTGTCTAACTGCCCCCGAGATGGAAAACAAGGTCTGTTTTGCTCCTTGTTATAAAACAAGTGCCTAGCAGTGTGATTGCTAACAGTAGGACGTCAGTAAATATGGGTAGACTGACTGAACCCGGTGAGACGTTTGTGTGTAAGGCAGCAGCCTCGGAAAGGAGGGTGCGGGTCCTTCTGTTTGGGAGAGTCCGTGCAGGTATGTTACAGTGAGGTTGCTGCTGGGCTGCAAAGGGTGCGAGGGAGGAGAGGGGAGAGTCAGGACTGAGGACCAGGAGAGCTGAGCAGTAGAGCTGGTGTTAAAATTCAAGCCTCTGGATTTTTAACTGTGTATTTTAAGGTGGACTTTTTTTGTTAGTGAATTATGCCCCATATCAGGTTATCATTGAATGTAATTGAAATTTTAACCACTTGGGGGGAAGCTTATAATGTCTGCTTTTTCATCTTTTTACTTTTTTAAAATCTGTGAGAGAGAAGGGTTTCTTCTTGTTTTGTTTAAATAAATGCAGGTTTATTTGGATTCTTAACTTGGTATTGAGGCCATTATTTTAAGAGTTTAGAAGGACAGAAATATATGAGAAGCTAGAAACATGACGGAGAGTTGGAAGGGTGAGATTGGAAAAAAGCATGAATCAGAGAAGCAAATGTGTCTGCCGTAAAGTAGGACAGAGTTCTCCAGTGTTTTTTTAACTTTTTATTATGGGAAATGTCAAACAACCTAAAAGTAAAGAGATAATGTAGTGGAACCCAACGTGCCTATTTTTATTTCATTTCCTTCTTTATTTCTGGGGTACTTAGAGTATATGTATCGTTCTAGATAATGTACCATTCATAAATGGAGTTTGGGTTTTTTCTGTTTGTAACGCCAACTCCGTTATTAGTAAGAGGAAATGCGCAAAGCAGGCACAAACACGAATCCCTAATCTAGGTTCTGGGCGGAAATATCCTTTTCTCAGTTTAGAGTTGCCAAGGGAAGCTTTTCACCAGGGAGGCTGGGACTATAGCCCTTAGAGTCCTTTTTCTCGGAATAGGAAGCGTGTGACGTCAGCACTTGGCACGTGGTCGAGACGCGAGCGTTTGGTTGGTTGAGCGCAGGGCAGGCTGGGCTGTTGTCTGCGTGCCTTGCCGTGTCCTGTATCCCTCCCGCTCTCTCTTCTTTATTATCTTTTTATCTCCCCGTTTTTAAGGTTTTTTTTCCCAATTCACAGCAGACAAAGAAAAATGCCAAAGGGAATTAAGATTTCGTTCCGTATTGAGTCAGTGATTTATAATTGTGAAGCCTGTCAGAGTTTCAAAGTCAAATTTTTTAAAATTTGACAATTTTTGTAGATTTTTCTAACATTCAATTTTTAAAGCAGTTTTAATCTTACAGTGCAGTTATAAGAATAGTATGAAAAACTGCTTTATATCCTTTATCCAGAGTTACCAAATTTTAACATTTTACCACATATGCTTATTTTGTTTTTCTGAACCATTTGAGAATAACTTGTAGATATCATTGCAAAGAGAAGTTGTTAATAAATTACAGTGGCTGCTACTTATTGCGCAGTTCCCACAAATCAGGTATCCACCAGAGGCCTTCTGTACGCCCCCCTCATTTAATTATTCTGACCCGATGAGGTAGGGGGTGGTGTTATGATCATTTTCCATGTGAGGATGTTGGGACTCAGGGTTTAAGTAAGGACATGCAGCTGGTGAGAGACGGAGCTGGAATTCGCACGAAGATGTCCTTCCCCCAGATAAATGGTATTGTGCTTCCAAAGATTAAACATCGCTGTGTCGTGGTTCTCTGCTGAGGGGCAGGGGTGCGGCGAGGACTTGGGGAAAGATCTCCAAGTCACCTTACTGCTCCCTGCCCTCACATTACCTCACTTTTGAAGCACCTGGGTAGCTAAGGGCAGTCCAGGCAAAGGAGTGGAAACAAACGGGGCAAGGAGCTGGGCGTTGAGCAGCCCTTCCGAAAGGCGGGTGCTGATGGGAAACGTCCTCCTGACTCACTGCGTTTGTTCCCTTCGGTGTAGGCCAAGCAGATAGAACTTCAGTTCACTATTGGCGAAGCCATTACCAGCGCTGCCGTGGGGACCAGCTCGGTGGCCGCCCGGGACGCGTGGCTCGTGACCGAAGAAGAGTACACGCCTCCTGCAGGTACCACACGTCCGGCTAATCCAGTTGTAACCCTCACGTAGCCTTTTCTATTCTCTTGTCAACATTTGCAGCAAAAGAAAAATCTATACATCCATTTCAACTCTTTTCCAGGTGTCTATGTCTGTCTTAGTTTGGTTCAGTCAAGAAAAATAGTTGTTTAGAGGAGAGACAGCGTGTCAGGATTGGGAGCTTTTTTGACCCTCCGGCAGGCACGCAGGGGACTCAGCGCTGGGCTGCGCTCCCCTTGGTGCTCCTCCCTGAGGATGGGCACATGTAGCCAAGCTGACAGGCGCAGGGATCCCTGTTTCCGAATGAGGTGCCCCTGATCCCTGGTCACATAGCAAAGCCTCACTGTCTTCTGCTTGCCCCCCAGGTGTCCCTGCACTAAAGGTGCCCTGCTTTTAGTGACTGCATGGTTGAGGGGGCACATGGTTTCTGATGACATGTTACAGATAACTGTGATTTCAAAGGTGTTAAGATTTGATTTGAATCTGAAATTGAAAGTGTACTCTAACATTTAAACCACCAAGTTTTTATGTTACCTTCTCAGTTCAGAAAATTGAGTTCTCATTGTAATGATTCCATTATGAATTATATTCCATCGTGAATATATTAATTTAGTTATTGTCCTTCACGGTAGGCCATGAGTATAGATAATTATTTTGAAGTGTTTTAATGTAAAGTGGTGGTTCTGGCCTAGGAGAGGGAGGCTCAGCCCCCCGGGAGGCATTCGGTGCTGTCTGGACAGTGGCGAGGGCCCCGGACGCTGCTGCCCAGGGTGACGACGCACAGGACGGCTGCCCACGGCAACCTTACCTAGCCAGAGTGGCGGCAGCGCTGCGGTTGAGGGACCCCCAGTTAATAAAGTGGGGGAGGAAAGTGGCAGTGTAGTTGGAGAGGAAAGTGACGTCCAAAGAGGCCGGTGCGTGTGTCGGTTCTAGGTGGGGGATAGGGAAGATACGGTAGAGAAAGAGAAAATGCCGAGATTACAGAGAGTGGGGGTGTTCTTCTAAATACTTATTTTTTTAATTTTAATTTTTTAAATTTTATTTACTTATCTTTAGAGGGGAAAGGAAGGAGAGAGGGAGGGAAACATCAGTGTATGGCCGCCTCTCATGTGTCCCCCGCTGGGAACTGGCCTGCAGCCCAGGCATGTGCCCTGACTGGGAATCGAACCGCGATCTTTTGGTTCACAGGCCTGTGCTCAATCCACTGAGCCATGCCAGCCAGGGCTAAATACTTATTTTTTTAAAAGGAAAGTTTTAGGTTCACAGCAGAATTAATAGGAAGGTACAGAGCTTTCCCATATCACCTCTGCCCCGATGCCTGCATAGCTTCCCCCATTGCGGGGTAATTTTTCATTCTAGGGAGTTAAACTTACCCGAGCACCTTTGAATGGTTATTTAGCTTATGCTGGGTTCTGACGTGGATGGTTATCAGTTCCTTCGGCAATTTATTTACACACCATAGTCGTTTGGATTTTTAATGTTATAGGATTGTCGTATTGAGTACATGTTGATTAAAATTTAAATTTTTTTTTTAGGAAACTCTGTATAGTTATTTTAATTTCCTCTTATCATTTTTTGCTTTTTCCCAGGAGTCAAAGCGAATGATATGGTCCCGTGGACGCTGGATGTGATTTTAAATAAACATATCATCAGCCCCAATCCGCACGTGAGGCAGGCCGCCTGCGTCTGGCTCCTCTCCCTCGTGAGGAAGCTCAGCGCCCACAGAGAGGTGAAGGTAAGCCGCGCATGGATGCACCCGGCTCCGCTGGAGAAACTGCTTGTGAGACATTAGTGACTGCAAGGTGGCAGACAGGGAGATCTGTGAAGGTGAGGGCCAGTAACCAGTAACCGGCATTTTGAAATAAGCTGTATACACAAAGGAATGAAGTGTGGCAGCTGATACACACTGGCCGGCAGATGGTTCTGACTTCAGGGTGTAGAACTGGATTGGTGGTGAGGAAGGGGAGGCTCAGACCGAGTGCATTACCTGCCCGAAGGCGGTCCGACCTTCAGCGCGGTTGGGCCACCCTCCCGGATGAGAGCACCGGAGGGTTTATGGCTGCCTTGGGCCCTGAGATTTTACAGGTGTTGCGTACCCTGAGAGCAAGATTCTTATTCTCCCGAAGAGGTAGAGCTTCAGTTTTCTCAGTGCCTTTTTTCTTCTTTCAGTCTCATCTTAAAGAAATTCAGAGCGCGTTTGTGTCCGTTTTGTCAGAAAATGATGGTAGGTTATTGATTTCCAAACTTAATTAAACATATTTCAAATTTTGAAAAAAAGATAGATTAATGAACATGAAAGAAGGGTACAGGAAACTTGCTTATTTATTTATTTTCTAAATAAATCATGTTCTTCAGTTTTGCATTTAAAAATGGAACTGAAGCCCTGGCCGGTGGCTCAGTTGGTTGGGGTGTCATCCTGTGCACCAAACGTTTGTGGGTTCAACCCCGAGTCCAGGCGCATGCGGGAGGAAGCCAGTCAGTGTGTCTCTTTCACGTGGATGTTTCTCTCTCTGTCTCCCCCCTTTCTTCCCTCCCTCTCTCTCCGAAACCTCTAATAAAAAATATCCTTGGGTGAGGATTAAAACATTTTTAAAAAGAGCTGAAGCCTTCTTTAACGTTAGTCCTACTAAGTAATAGCTTTCTTCTACTTGTGATTCCTTTCCTCTTTACGCCCTAAGCCAGAAGGGAGTGAATGTATGTAGCTTTGTTTTGTAAATTGTTTAAAACATGGTATTGTGTTGACTTTTCATGTAAAACAATTGGATGCTGGTGTATTGAAATTCTGTGAGTCTCTCTGCTTCTCACGTGTGTGACTAGGGTCCCCTGAGTCTCTGTCCCTGCATGCGGCAGGCCGAGGCCCCGCAGTGTGGGCTTCTGGGATTGTGGGTTGGGGTCTTCTGCAAATGACTTGTGGGGGCCATCTCCACTGAGTTGATTTAGTGTATTTTTAACAAAATGGGCAGATTGATTATGTTTTCATATCTTTACTTTTATATCATTTTGGGTTAATGTTCCAAGTGTTTAAAAATTTCAACTTGATGGCCAGTAGACAAATTTTTCTTAAAATAATATTATTTTGTCTGACTCTCTTGTAGAACTTAGCCAAGATGTTGCTTCAAAAGGCCTTGGGTTGGTGTATGAACTGGGCAATGAGCAAGACCAACAGGAATTGGTTTCGACCCTCGTAGAAACCCTTATGACTGGTAAAAGGTACGATGAACTTGAGATTGTTAGATTTGAACACCTGTAGGACAGTTTTACACATACTGAGAATATGCAGTGGAAGAATGAAAATTCAACTCTTTGTATTCCTGTTTATTAAGTCTTTTCTAAATTGCAAGTCAATGGTTGCAAGGCTGTGGATAGCAGTCTAATTATCCAGGGTATATGGTTTGCTAAGGAAGCTCAGCTACTGTTTAGAAGCGTGCCAGTGGTCAGATGTAGAAAGCGGAATGGACTCAGGATAGTTAAACCATTAGACTGCAGAATTACTGTTGACTAAAGGGAAATGAAGACACAGTGAGGGGGCTGCATGTCATTCACAGGCTGATCTGTGACGTGTCTGAAAATATCTTCCTTGGAATTTAATTGGTTGCTGTTTTATGTTGCCTTCCTTGTGGGAAGGACAGTTTTTAATAGAGACCACATTTAATTCAGTGTAACTTTACACAGGGTGTCTTTTATATTGGGGTCTATTAATTTGTTTATTCTAGACTTTATTTTGCAGAATTCTCAGGCTGATAGGAAGGAATAGTTGACTTTTCCATCTTACACTTGGCAGCTGCTTGATAGGAAATGCAATTTAATCAGTTTGCAAGTGAAATGTATCAATTAGTTGAATGCTGGTATGAAACATTTGAGTCTAATTTAAATTCTTAATGCTGTTTTGGTTTAGAACTAAACATGAAGTTTCCGGAGAGACAGTGGTATTTCAAGGGGGAGGTCTTGGCAAAACACCTGATGGGTAAGTGTGTCAAACCCATTGATCAGTTCTTGTGGACATCGCTAGTCTGATGTTAGAGAACTCATGAAATAGATTTCCACCCTCCTAGAAAACGTTGTGCTAGTGGAAGAAGAAAGTTTCTATGGAAAAAGCCTGGTGTTGTCGATTGGGTTTCCTGGGAAACAGACTCTGAGATGGAGATTTGTGTGCTGGCAGTTGATTGAAGAATGCCCTGGGATCGTCTCCCAGTGGGGGAGTGGGGGTGGGGAGTGAGGAGGCAGGACAGGGCCAGTGGCCCAAGGAGGAGCTGATCTGCGGTCAACGCTTAAGCAGATACTGACCTCGAGAGGAGCTCTGGAGCTGGCCTTTCATGGCCCTTTGGAGTTTCCCTGCTGTGAGGGGCCAGGCGTCTGTGTCCCTCCATGGGGCCTGGCCCACATGTGGTCGGCTGCTCTGGGGGAGGAACTGACCTTGGACTGAGGGGAGTTCTGTCTGCTCCCAGCCAGTGAATCCTGGGGGTGGAGGGAACCCGACAGCGTAGCTGGGTATCCACTGTACCTAGTTTTAGGAGGGAAATGGGGGTGACTTGGAGTCCACCAGTTTAGCATTTCAAATTAATTCCTAGAGCCTTATCTCCTTTACCTTGGCATTATTCCATTGTGTTCACACTGTAGCTTTTTGCGTAAAAGTCCTCAGGTGAAGTGCAGCCTGCTGGGCCTGGCTGCGGTGTCAGGCAGAGCCCCGCTTCAGCGGTGTCTGCGGCATTAACGTTCTCCCCTTCGCTCACTGTTTTCATGTCAAAAGTTGGTTTCATTTACTTGCTCCTTGTAGACTCCTGAGTTTTCAAAGAGTTCTCACTTTTGCCCTGGCTGCTATGGCTCAGTTGGCCTCGTCCTGCAAACCAAAAGGTGGCCAGTTCGGTTCCTGGTCAAGGCACATGTGTGGGTTGCAGTTCCATCTCCTGTCCAGGCACATATGAGGGGCAGCCGATCAGTGTTTCTCCCTCACACTGATGTTTCTCTCCCTCTTTCTTCCTCCCTTCCCCTCACTCTAAAAATAAATAAATGAAATCCTAAAGTACTCACTTTTCCTAAACTAAGTAACATAAATGATCAGGCATTTGAGCAAATATTATTTGTTCAGAGGAGAATTAACAGGACTCAAAGATGTTATTACCAAGGTTGGTGTGCTCTGGCTAGGAAGACTTAGGGAAGACGGCAGTTACCTACAGGTCAGTTTCCCAGTTGTGAGGTGGCTTGTGCGCAATGTGGTGACGAGTTACTGAGCTGCCTCGTGGGGTGGTGCCTCGTGGGGTGGTGCCTCGTGGGGTGGTGCCTCGTGGGGTGGTGAGGGCTCTCCCTGCGTGGGAGCGGCAGGTACGTTTAGGACGTTTCCCTGGTACGGTTGACTGTTGTTAGGGGACGCTTTATATTCTTTTCAGTTTGGTTCTCTGCCTCTGTGGTGATGAGATAACTCAGTACTGGAAATTTAGTGAAAACATAATTTTAAGATGTCCTCATAATATTGATGGTATAATTTTCACTGGGCCAGAGAGAGAGAAACACATTATTACCTGCTGTTTGTTTGTTTCCAAGCCAGGGCCTCTCTACTTACAAGGAGCTTTGTTCTCTGGCCAGTGATCTCAGTCAGCCAGACCTGGTGTATAAATTTATGAATTTAGCCAACCATCATGCAATGTGGAACTCCAGGAAGGTAAGCTACTATCACCAGACAGTTTTTATTTTTTACTTTCCTCCCAAACCTAATCCGTTACATTGGTGGACCGTGGACGTGCAGAGTGTTTTGTAAAAGTGCGATTAGAGAGCCAGACCACCCCACGGTAAAGGTCGGGCCCAGTGAGTCAGGCTCGGTGCAGGGACGAGTTTGGGAGGGCGAGTTCTGTGATCTTCACGCACACAGTATGTTGATATTTCACTAACAGCAGACGTCTCTCCCCCACTTCATCTTGTTTTCTTAGGGTGCTGCTTTCGGTTTCAATGTCATTGCTGCCAGAGCCGGAGAACAGCTGGCTCCTTTTTTGCCTCAGCTCGTTCCTCGTCTCTATCGTTATCAGTTTGACCCCAACCTTGGCATTAGACAGGCCATGACAAGTATTTGGAACGCGCTGGTCACTGACAAATCAACGGCAAGTATCTGTGGGCTTTTGTCTAAGACCGTGTACTGGATTTAAACCCAGCGCCCGTCTTCCTTCCTTACTTCGTATACTTACCTGTGTAAACGAGTGGGAAGTCTTTTATTTCTTGCTTGTTTTCTTCTTTCAAACTATCACATATGCTCACGGCAACATTTATTGAAATCTCAAAAGTGGGCACAGTCCAGATGTGTCTGTGTCAACGGTGCTGTTGCTGCGTGGAGAGTGGGGCTCGGCTCCAGCCTTCACGGGGTTAACTCAGTTGAGGTCATAGGCCAGGAAGCAGCTGGTTACCACGTGTGGCTTTTCTCTCTTGGTTTTCTTTCTTTCTTTTTTTTTTTTAGGCAAAATGTATATACATTTTATTTTAGAAAAAATACAAACAACTAATAAAAATATGAAAAGATTTCTAACCTCACTGATATTCAGGAAAATGTTTACCAAAGTGGTATTAACATATGAGCTTTGGCCATTCAGATTGGCAGATATAAAGGAGAATGGTAAAAGTCAGCATTGGCAAGGATGTACAAAAATGAATTTGTTTATATATTGTTGGTAGGGATACACACTGACGTGATACTTTTTGAGAATTATTGATTAGTATAATGGAAAAATGTTCATGACCTTTTTTATTTTTATTTAAAAAAACATTATTTTATTTTATTAATTATGCCATTACAGTTGTTTTATTCCCCCCTTCATTCCCCTCCACCCTGCCCACCCCTCCCCCACCATCCCCCCCTTTAGTTTATGAGCACATGTCTCAAGTTCTTTAGATTCTATATTTCCCATACTATTCTTGCCCTCCCCCCATCTATTTTCTACCTACCATCTATGCTACTTACTTTCTGTACCTTCTCCCCTGCTCTCCTCCTCCTCCCACTCCCCTGTTGCTAACCCTCCATGAGATCTTCATTTCTGTTTCCACTCCTGATCTAGCTGTCCTTTTAGTTTGCTTTTGTTTTAGGTGTGGTCGTTAATAACTGTGAGTTTGCTGTCCTTTCACTGTTCATATTTTTTATCTTCTTTTTCTTAGATAAGTCCCTTTAACATTTCATATAATAAGGGCTTGGTGATGATCTGGCTGCTTCTTGTACTCTATTCCACTCCTAGGGACTAGGACTTCTCCATTCTAGGCCTGCCTCTGAGTAGCTTTTACTCTCAGCTTTATCATTCTAGGTGAGCTCATGAGTTCCAGGGCATTTACTGTGATGGTTCCCAATCTTATGTTTTGGGCCCAGACAAGATTTGTGCTCCTGACTTGCATGTCTAACAGCTGCTTGTCATTTTAACTTGGATGTTGTTTCAAGATACCATAGACTTAGCATGTCCAGAATAGGACTTGGAAAAACAACCTTCCCTCTCTGTTCTCAGTGTTCATCCGTTTACCCAAGCCAGGAAACGTGGGTGTCATCTTAGATTTTGTCTGTTGTACCCCCATCCTCAGTTGAATCCACTGGCTGTTTATTCTGTTTCCAAAGTATTTCTTGAATCCATTCTCTTCTTTTTCAAATGTTTCCTTGATGAACAGGTTGTCTTCTTTCTCTTTACCTTCCATCATTTAATTACCAGAAGCAACAGTGATTTTTTAAAAATGCAAATTGGACTGTGCCAATTTGGGTTAAAAGCCTTTAGTGGTTTCATAGTTCCTTTTAAATAAATTCCATGATCCTTATTATACCATTTTTAGTCTCTGTACTTGATACATGGCCCTTTCCCTTATCTTGGTCTGATAATAGGTTGAGTGGGTTCCTGTTCATGGCAGTAGGTAGTTAGGGGTCAGCTGGAAGGTTAGTGAGTTTTGTTTGCTCCAGGAGATTATTCGATACCATTGGGTCAGTCAGTATCTCATAGGCCAGGTGGCTTTATAGATCTGAGTTCAGGGCATGCAGCCTATGATCTCCAGTGATTATCATCTCTGTAGGAGTGACAGGTGAAGCCACAGTGTGGGATGAGGTCACTATGGAGAAAGTTTAGAAAGTAGACACAGGGAGACATCATTTTGTTAAATCTTAGCTGAGTTATTTACTTCTCTGTTTCGGTTTTCTTACACAGAAGTGAAGATAACAAACATCTCCTATGAGAGTAAAGGTGGAAAAGCCCTCAGTCTTGAGGTTCTCTGGATCAGCCTAGAAACTGAGTCTGCCATCAGTTTGTCTTTACTAAATTGATAAGTGTCTGTCAAAGGCTTAAAAGGTTAAATTCATCTTTGATTCTGAGCAGTTATAATACTTCTTTATGTGCTAGTCTGTGCACGGTACCAGGGAGGCAAAGAGCAGCGAGACCCTGTCCCTGCCCATGAGGTCCAGTGCAATGGAGCAGCACAGCTATTGTGAGGACTCGTAGGTGCTTTGGGCGGTGCTGGGGGATGCAAAGGAGAGTAGGTCAGTCTTCTCTCTGAAGGCGGTGCTGGGCTTGAGGAGCAGCTTTGTGTTTTGGGATGAGTAGTCCGACAGCTGTCGGTAACTGAAGTGGGAAGAGAGTCGTGGGCCGAGAGGTCTAGAGAGCTGCTCGGGCTGTTACGTGCAGAAACACGGTCAGGTGGCTCAGAGATGAGTGATTGGATTTTGATAGATTTTGCATTTTAAATTTTACCATTTTGCTTTTATTAGGTGGATAAATATTTAAAGGAAATTCTTCAAGATTTGATAAAGAATCTTACCAGTAATATGTGGCGAGTTCGAGAATCCAGGTACTGTTTTCGGAAATACAAAACTAGTTAAATGCAGCTGCATTTCTTCAACTTTCAAAGTTTTATACTTTGTGCCAAAGGGGTATATTAAATTCAATTTAAATTCCGCATATTTCTGGTTGGGTTAGGCAGTTATTGTTAATTTAACTATTTAAACTATAGTCAGTGGTTTTCCTAAGATGTCTTAGTTTTTGTAAGTGTGAAGTTAGAGCAGTAGAACATCACTTGTTAACTTGGTAGACGTCAAGACTCTATATACTCCCATGACTTTGTCAGGGGAGGGTTTATGTGCACACGCGTAATTTATATTTATTTCCATTGCGACGTGCTTGGCAGGGTGCTAAGTCCCAGGGTGCACTGGTAAGGAAAAGATGAAGTGTCATCTCAAAGAGATGTCTTACACCGACGGGGAAGAGACATTGGATGACTGTTCATGCTCCGTGTCTGTGGAGTATCTGAGGCACCGAGGAGACATTCGTCATCGTTGTCTCGGGTGGGGTCAGGGCCGGAATATGGGCGGAGTCCATGTTCTTGTTGGATGTGAATGTTTCAGAGTAAACCATTGGGCTTTCTCTATTATATCTTTGAAACCAAATTGTTTACTTTCAGCTGTTTAGCTCTGAATGATTTATTGAGAGGACGACCCCTAGATGACATCATTGATACACTTCCAGAAATCTGGGAAACTCTTTTTAGAGTACAAGACGATATAAAGGTAAAATCTGCACTTATTTATAGAGTAGCTTAAGCTGAAATTGTTAAAATACGTGTGATAATATATTTTAGAATTCAATATCCAAGTAATTTTTAAAGACTGAAAATTCTGACTGGACTGGTGTGGCTCAGTGGGTTGAGCTCCAACCAGTGAACCAAAAGGTCGCCAGTTCGATTTCCTGTCAGGGCACACGCCTGGGTTGCGGGCCGGGTCCCCGGCTGGGAGTGTGTGAGAGGCGCCGCGGGTTGGTGTTGCTCTCACTCATCAACGTTTCTCTCCCTCTCTCTCTCCTTCCCTTCTCTTCTCTCTGAAAATAAATAGAATCTTAAAAAGACTGCAAATTCTCCCCGAAGTTTCAGTCTCGATGTGCCTGTGAATTTGCAGGGTTGGCTATCTTCAGATTTAAATTGAATTGACTTTAAAAAAAAATGGCTACTGCCTTTTTGTTCAATAGAGATCTCACGTTGCTATTGATTAGGGACAAATAAAAGTTTAGAAATAACCCAGAATCAGTTTACGAAATTGGATGAATTATTCCCAAATAATATGACCAGTTCCTTTTCATTTTTAATTTAACTTAATCTAAATTTTAGAAATTTCGATATCTTACCATTAAAATTAGGCATTTCACTTTTGCCTTTCTTTTTGTTTGTCCATTAGAGATTTTTAAAAGTCTGTTAGAATCCTCACAAAAATCTTTACATTCGTTTTTATAACGCACTTAGTTTCTAAACTGTTTACGTAACAGCCATGTTTTGGTCAGGTCAAAATAGGCCATAACCTAATTCATGTTATGTACGCAGCATGGTAATGTGTTCCGTGATGGGTAAAGAGCCTCATGAAACACTGTTTTCTTACTCAATGTCAAGTGGGACTTTCCACCGATCTGTGTAGAGTCAGAGGCAGTTACTGTGCATTGTGGGAGAAACTAACTCTTATGATGCCAAACTCTTCTCATTTTTAGGAGTCTGTACGAAAAGCAGCAGAACTAGCTCTGAAAACTCTGAGCAAGGTGAACACTCTTATCTTATATTGGGGGCGAAGTGGGGCAGGGTTCTAAGTGTCCATGACAATCACTTACTTTTCATCACACAATGCCATTCAATTGCGGTGGGGTTGGTATCATGTTATAGCTCACCGTGCTGATGATGAGTGTAACGCTGGGCGCTACAACACTAGACATCGCCTATTAGTATTTTTTAACAATGTGGATCTGTGTTTTTTAAAATAGCTTTCTCGGGTCTTTATATAAGATGTGACTTTTATTTGACCCTGAAGAACACATTACTCATTTAGATTAAGCAACATCTGTCTTTTCTCTTTATTATTGCCATGTTTATGTGTTAATCTGGCTTTCATATTTATGAGGTTGGCAAGCTTTTTGAAACTAGTTTCCCCTTTGAACCGATTTTGTGATACATTCTAGGGCATGTTGTCGAGCGCTTTCTTATTAACTTTCCCATTTCATCTTCAGTAGTTTCCCGTTTCACAAGTTGAAGACCAAAGCTTGGAAAGTAGAGTTGCATGACCAGGTTTTCCATCAGGTTGTTGGTAGACACAGGACTCATTCCCAGATCTCATGCTTCTGTTTCTTTCTGTAGTGTCATAGAAAGTGGATTCACTCATCCTTTTCTATGGATGTGGGAAGTAGGAAGTGTTGGGTCAGAGGTCAGTCTCACTAATTTCCGTACTCTTTGTGTGTGAGGTTTGTGTGAAAATGTGTGACCCTGCCAAAGGAGCAGCTGGCCAGAGAACCGTCGCTGCCCTTCTGCCTTGCCTTCTGGACAAAGGAATGATGAGTCCTGTGACAGAAGTTCGATCCCTCAGGTGTGAGTCCGCTGATGAAATGAGTATGCTGCATTTAGTCAGCTCCTAACCAGTTAGCGGAGTCGCGTTTCTTCGAATGTTAGATTTGAAAGTATGGAAACTGAGTCCAGATAACCCAGGAACGAGCATTTGTTAAAAGGCCTAGAACATTTTCACAAAAACATTCTCATGGGAACCTTGCTTTTGACCAGCATTTGGCCACTGGGTCTCAACCTGGAGGGGAGCGTTTTTAAGAAAATTTCATCGGCCTCTGTGCCCAGTGAGCACATCTCCCTGTTATGCCATAGTCCTTGGGAGCTGGCTTGTTGGGTGTGCGGCTTAGTCATATGTAGTGCTTACTGGGTTTAAAATAAACTGTTTACCGCCCACAGTAACTAAATATTTAAAGACTGTGCTCACGTTTAGTTATATATGGACATTTTAAGTTAAAGTCAACTGAGAAGGATTCTAGTTTGTATTTTTTGTTTCTAAACTAGAATACTATCTAGGAAGTTTATTCAATTTTTATTTCATTCTTAAAATTAGATCAAATTAATAGTACCAACAGTATTCCATAGTAACTAAGTACTTGATGTTGCAGAGTTCTTTTTAGAAGGACTGACTTAGCAAATGCAAAGGAGTGATAAAATCAGGATGTCATCGCTTGGCTATCCTCAGTGGAGTGGTCTAGGTAATGATCATTAGTGATTCCTAAATCCACTGGTAAAGGGCTGATGGGGAGCTGTATAATGGAAGGTTCAGGCTCACCAATTGGTGGACTCGAGTCCACCAATCACTCTTAACAGCAAAAAAAAAAAAGGAGCAGTCCTTACATGCATTCTGGTGTGACAGAGCAGGACATGTACAGCACTGCCTGTGACAGACTCTTGTTTTTAAAAAATTGAACCTGAACTTGAGTTAGCCTGCAGATCTATGCAAGAGACAAAGGAGGAACATGTTAGATGAAATTATCAGGATACAATTGATGAGGACAAAAAAATGAGAAGAGCCCTGGCTGGTGTAGCTCAGTGGATTGAGCGCAGGTCTGCGAACCAGAGGATCGCGGTTCAATTCCCAGTCAGGGCACATGCCTGGGTTGCAAGCCAGTTCCCTGCAGGCCACTTCCCAGCAGGGGATGCACTAGAGGCAACCATACATTGATGTTTCTCTCCCTTTCTCCTTCCCCTCTAAAGATAGATAAATAAATAAATAAATAAATAAATAAATAAATAAATATTTTTAAAAAATGAGAAGAAAAAAGACTCAAGAAATGTAGTAAATTGCCATGTGTGGATGGACCCTGGATTCAATTACAACAAACACTTAAACACAGTTGTGAAACAGGGAAATTTGGATGTTAGGTGATATGAAAAAAGTTCTTAATAGTTTTAAAGTATGAATAGGTATTTTGGTTCTGATGAAGTGTCCTTGCCTCTTACTGATACACACTGAAGTTTAGTTAGAGGATGTGCTTCAAAATAATATAATGGCAGGAGAAAAAGTATGACTATGTGTGTTATGGTAGAGGTATAAATGAAATATAACAGGCCAGAGGTTGCTAGTTGTTGATCTGAGTGGAGAATACATAGAATTTAACTTAAGATTTTTCTACACTTTCATTTTCATGTGGAAATTTCTATAATATAGAGTTAAAAAAATAGTGCTAAGACCAAGCACTGTGACCAAGTGAGTATATTCCAGAATTCAGTAAACTGCAAGACACCCTCATGAGTAGATTTGTCAGGCTTATTGTTATTGTTAAAAGGTCTCTGCGTTCCCTGTTGCCTATAGCATCAACACCCTGGTGAAGATCAGCAAAAGTGCGGGAGCCATGTTGAAACCACATGCACCGAAACTCATCCCGGCTCTGCTGGAGTCCTTAAGTGTATTGGAACCCCAAGTTCTCAATTACTTGAGTCTCCGTGCTACAGAGCAGGAAAAGGTGAGTTGATGGCATGGGCATTTTGGTAGGTATGAAGGAAGAGCCCTGTTAAGGTCCTGGGGTCCGTCTGAACCACCCTTCCGTTGTCCTTAGAGACTGCTAATGACTGAACGATGCTTTCCCCGCTTTTGAAACAGCTCGATTACTGTCACCACCTGGGGTGTTTTTTACAGGGGTGGGTGGGGGGAGGGCTCGCACACTGTTCTGTGAGTCAGATGAAAATGACACTTTCACCCCAAAATATGCATTGACCATTATTTAAGGTTTTTGTACATGTTTGTTTACATTTTAGGGCTTGGGTTTATATTCTCAGAGTCCGTTTATGGACCACTCCTACCCTACAAGTGAAGAGTATTTGTACCTAGACTTTGGCATAATCTAAAATTATTCTGCTTTTTAGATATATTGTAGTTTAAAAAAATTAAGAGTTTGTAAAATTTTTCAGATGAACCCTATTTATTGTGCAAAATTAAAACAACGCAGAGGAGAAAGCGATTCCCCAGGTGTCCGTCCTCCCTCCCCCTGAGGAGTGTTTCCTGGGGCGCATCACTGTCAGCAGTGTCCTGGGTCGGGAGGTTCCAAATTCTTTTGTAGCGGGGGGGCTACAAAACTAAACAAAAACGCTAATCTTAAAATAGAGTCAGACCATGAATGTTGTTCTGCAACTTGCAGACCAGCATGATATTGGCATTAACAATGTCATGTCTGTATAGATCTATTTCATTCTTTTTAACGCATGCCTACTGATCTACAGGGAGGTGATTTTGAACTTTTGTAGGAGAGATTTTTGTGGCATCAAAGGTTTTGAATGTTCTATTTCCTCGATATCTTAAAGCCAACATTGAATAATACCAGTCCGATAAGGAAGAGTCACTGTTCTGGGTTCCACTTTCTTGTTGGTCGTGTTGCCCACGGTCTCTTCACACTGTGTTAGCCGTGTTCGTTTCGTCTTCGAACTGTGTTTCTGTTCCATGCCTGGTGTTGTACTTGCGTATGTTTTTATATTTGTCTTTGTTTATTAGGACTGTCAAACCTGTGTCATACAGACTGTACATTTTTTTTTATCAGTTTACTGACTTAACTTGCCTACACTGTTCTAATAACTTATTCTCTTTCCCCTTTGCCTCCAACATCGCTGTTTCTCCTCCGTTCTTTGGGCAGTAATCTTGTCCCCTCCGTGGTTCCCCAGCCTTTTGGGCGTTGTGAAATAGGAAGTATAAATTCCAGTGAGGATTTTGCAGCCCCGGGCAGGCCCCTTCTCCACACCCTTTTCTTCTTGTTCTGTCGGGTAGTGGTAACCTCTCCTACCGCACAGCTGGGAGACTGAAACACTCTGATAAATGTGAAGGCCCTGCACAGAGATCAAGCAGTGAAATGTATGAGTTGTTTTGTTGCTTAGACACATTTTTTTTAAAACCATAGAAATTTATTTAGTCTACTCGTTTATTTAGTGGATGGGAGAACCTGAGGCTCAAGAAGTCTCGACGCCTTGCTCAGAGCCACCCTATGTTAATTTCTGATGACAGTTAACGTCTAACTGTTGTCTGAATTTCTCAGCTGTAGTGAGATGCTGCCTCTGCAGGTAAATGGTTGGGTTAGGTCAAAAGAAATTAGAGCTGGACTTATGTTTGACTGTGTTATGTATATTATTATAAAAAAGGTTCTTCGATTTGGCAGAAAGCCTTTTTTGGGAGTGTGTGGAGGTTCTTCTGAGTTCACTGAGTGCACTGAGTGACTTCGTTTGTGTCCCCAGGCTGCGATGGACAGTGCCCGGCTCAGCGCTGCCAGGTCCTCCCCCATGATGGAGACGATCAACATGGTCAGTGCCCGGTGTGACAGGAAAGCGCACGTGTGTTCGCTTACCTTCGAGTGTGATGTTCAGAGTCTTCCGGTCCCATTAAATGAAACAGAAATGGAAGAGATGAGTCAAGCAGCCATTGTGACTTCAGTTTTCTCTTAGTATAATTATTTCTTTTTCGATCTTGACTAAATGGAGACAATAATTTTTCAAGTAATAGAATCCATTAGTCCAGAGTTGTGTTATAGGAGAACATCTATTAAAAGATTTCTGTATAGATCTACAAGTCTTTTGTCCCATTGAGCAAGATTCGGATTTTTGTCTCTGCCTGAGCATTGTTTTGGGGAGGATGCAGGACAGTGCAGGCTGGACGTGCTCAGCGAAGCAGGCAGCATAAGGCAGGGGAAGGGAATTGAGCGATATTCTTATGTTTTTTTAGTCATGGGAAGGGACTTGCAGAAAAGAGCTGCTTGGCACCGAGTCTCTAAGTTCCCGGACTCTTGGACCAGGAGTTGCTAAAGTCGCTAAAGTTGACTCTGCTGTGCATACCCTGGAGTGGTTAGCCAAGAGTGTCCGAGCCACCGGGAATTGTTTTGCTAAGCAGATTACAAGGCTGGAGAAAAGAAGTACATGTTTTTTTACTGCTTACTGGCAGACCGTCACCAGAGTTTGGTCTAAGAATGTTTTGTCTTAGGGGGGAAAAGAAAGCTTAAAGAAATAGAAATAGTTAGCAAACACCTCGGAGATGTGCTCATTAATAATATAGTTCATTGCATTTTTCAAAAAATGTAGCATAGGAACTTCTGCTCAGAAATTGGCTTTAATAAAGGTGGTGGTAGGGTGGGCCCACCAAGGCTGTTTTAATCCAGGTCTCCTACACTAAACTTGGATTGATGGAGTCAGTCGGTCCTGGGAGATCCTTTTCTCTGGGATAATTATTATTTATTTTCTCTTTTAGAAAGTCAGTGTTTTTCATTATTTTTGTTTTGTTTTTAATGTTGAACCACTAATGAATGATTTTTATGCATAGTACAGTTGTAGTTTTCACATTGAAATTAGAGCAAAATCAACTTCATGTCAAATCCAGAGGGTACATACCTGATATGGGCTGTTTTAAATTGAAGATGTGGTGTGGACTTAATTATTCGCTAAAATTAACTTTCTATTTACTCTTTTCCAAAAGTGCCTGCAATATCTTGATGTGTCAGTGCTCGGTGAGCTGGTTCCTAGATTATGTGAACTAATCAGAAGTGGTGTAGGTCTTGGAACCAAGGTAAGTAAGTGTATTTTTCACAAGGATAATTTTCATTTGGTTAGGCCCCCCAAATACAGTAGCCATCATGTTTGAAATTCATATTTGTTAAAACAAAACCTGATATTGTAAATTAACCAGTTTGTTTTTATGGCTGCACTAGTAGGTTAAAACATGGAACTCATTCAAAACATGAAGCATGTGACTTAATAAATACCGTCTCACTTTTTTAGTGGAGTCATTCCTGCCCCCTGTACCTGCCTCTGGGTTCTGGCTCATCGTCATCGGGGCCCGGTTGTTTTGGGGGGCGGTTTTCACACAGGCTCAGCAGGCGTTTGGAGAGGAGAAACGTCTTTCCAGGATTTTTCAAGGGTCAGAACCTACCCTTGCACTTTAAAAAACAAACAACTCACTTTTTATTCTCCCAACAAAATTAACACTTGATTGTATTTAAAAACTTTAGCATTTATAGATCAGGAGAAAGTTAAAAAAACTGTCCTAAGTCTACTACCCAGAGGCAATTGCTGTTAAGACTTTGAAGTGTTTCCTTCCGGTCTCTCATTTGTGCGTGTGTCCTCTGCACTGTGCTCTTTAATGGCCACGTGATACTCTGCTGTGTGGCTGTGACATTGTTTATTTTAGTCCATCAAGGAGCATCCGTTTGTTTTCAGCCTTTTTGGTGCTAAGTAAGGCACTGTGATGAATCTCTTGGACACATCGGAAGCTGTTTCTTTCGGCTGAGTTTCTAGAACTGGAAATGTTAGAACGAGGATGGACGAGAGGAGGACATGCTGCCCCCCCAAAAGATCGAACCAGTTTTCTTGCTTAATTGTGTGTAGGCCCGTCTTCCTTCTAGAGGTTTTCCACGAGGTCTCTGCACATCTAGTTTCAAAGCTAAGACTTTCCCCCTTTGTAGATTGAATCTCGGAGGGGCTGTTAGGGTTTGTGTATGTTATATCTTATCTTTAATCTTTGACACCCACCTAAAACAAAGGGTTTGATAGAGCCTGGTGACCACCAAACTCTGACCTTTCCCTTTGTAACCCTGTAGGGAGGCTGTGCCAGTGTCATTGTGTCATTAACTACTCAGTGTCCCCAGGACCTAACACCTTACTCAGGTGAGTTGTCAAAAACCTGTGTGGTGATATTTTTGTACGGCCATGGCCATGTCTTGTTTGACAAGGTTTTAAAAAGAAAAATAATTATCATTCCAACATGCTCGTGATATTGTATACTTTTTCTCCCTCTTTCTTTTTGTATACAAGAAGCAAAGGGTGGTCAAGTTTAGCAAGTCTTCACGGTTTTATAAGAGTTTATTTCTTAGTGGTATAGGAAGGTGAAAGTATCTGCCATCCTATAGAATTTTTTTACTATATAGTTAATTTTACATCAGCATTTTTCTCTTCTTAGATTGGCTCCCAGATGGGCCTAATGAACTTGTATACCTCGCTTTCATTTTTTTTTAACTTTCTTAACAATATTCTAGACACAGTTTAATTTTTAATTTTATATTAAGCAAAAGGAAGCAAATGGATAGCACAGCTATAACATACAAGGGTTCTAAATTACCATGGAATAAATCAGATATTCATTACAGGGTTAAGTTTGTTTTGGCTCTGGGAACAGAGCAGAACATCTGCTCAGCCACGTGTCAGGTTGCTCTCCTTTCTTTCTGGCAGGTAAACTCATGAGTGCTTTGCTCAGCGGCCTGGCAGATCGGAACAGTGTGATTCAGAAATCCTGTGCTTTCGCAATGGGCCACTTAGTTCGGGTGAGTTGAGTTTCTCATTTAGTTAAGTAATTATACTTGGATAATTATAAAGAAATGACAGGGTTGTTTGTTTTTTCCAGACCTCACGGGATAGCAGCACTGAGAAACTCTTGCAGAAGCTCAATGGCTGGTATATGGAGAAAGATGGTACCATTTTTATGTTTATATTTAGATGTTAACAGCCTAATAAAATGATACAAATCAGGTCTTACTCCGTATGATTTTATGCGCTTTGCTAGGAACATTTCTGATAAGAACTAGATACTACACTTGATCTTAGCCAAAAGGCCGAGAAGTGATGCTAGGAACATTTCTGAGTAATTTTACTGTTTTGTTGTGGTGCAGATTGAGCAATAATAGTCTGTTTAGATCCGTTACCACTAAAAACAGTAAGTAGCATAAAGATTGTGGCTTTTTCTGCTTCCCTTCAGAACCCATCTACAAGACCTCATGTGCTCTGACTGTCCACGCTATTGGGCGGTACAGCCCCGACGTGTTGAAGAACCACGCCAAAGAAGTGCTGCCGCTGGCATTTCTCGGCATGCACGAGGTCGCGGACGAGGAGAAATCAGAAAAGGAGGACTGTAACCTGTGGACCGAGGTGTGGCAGGAGAACGTGCCTGGTCAGTGAACAGTGCCTGTGAATTACACCTGTTCCTCAAGAACCACAGCTGGAGTTTTTCACTCATTTTTAATTCGTCAACTCCCGCAGTTACTTTCCTAGGACCGTCGTAGCATGTGTCCTATTTGGTTTTGAGCCCCTCTCACCATTGCTGAGTTGTTGAGGTCGCACTCAGAGCTCTGCTCTTTCCTCCCTCATTGCTGCCTGGGCAAGAGGAGAAATTGCCCCAGCCAAGTCGAGTTTCACTTACTTTAATTGAGTGAGCTGTGATTTCATGATATGTTGCCTTAGAGTATTGTTTAGAGTAGTCTCATTTTTCTTTTTTTTTTTTTACCTTGATGCATATCAGTGAATGAGGACCATTGGCCTGACACGCTTGTGGACACACCCAAGTTCATAAAGTCCTGCTGTCGTGAAGATTCCTCACACAGCACCCACCTCCTCTCCCTTTTAAAGAGTGGTATAATGTAACCATTGAGAATCAGTGCTTAGAAAAGAAAAATGAGGGTGTTTTTTTCTTTTCTTTTTTCTTTTTGTCACTTTAAAGTTGATTTAATTTTGCTTCTTATAACCTAGGTTCCTTTGGTGGCATCCGGCTATACCTGCAGGAGTTGATTACTATTACCCAGAAGGCTTTACAGTCTCAGTCCTGGAAAATGAAAGCCCAGGGTGCAGTTGCCATGGCATCTATTGCAAAACAAACCAGCTCCCTGGTACCTCCATATCTGGGAATGATACTGACCGCGTTACTGCAAGGCCTCGCTGGAAGAACGTGGGCAGGGAAGGTAAAGGGACCGTTCATGCCCAGTTAAATTTGGGGTACCCTTAAAGGATTATGACTGCAGCTTTCATTTCCTGCAAGATTTAGAATCCGCTTTTGTGGGACATCTGATGGGTTGATTTTCTAGCCAGTGGGAAACACTGGGCGAGCTTTGTGTGATTAGGTAATGATACTATTTCATTAAAGTGCAACCCTGTGTCCTGAGTGTTGCACAGTAATGCTGGAGATTGACTTTTACTTATCACATTCAGCTTTTAAGATAAGTCCTAACCCAGCGGCCACCCTTTTGTACCTGGTGACCTTACACACCGATCAGGATTGGGCATATGTGACACTGAGTAGCATGATGAGCTGTCCAGACCTGGACCTGAGAATGCCCATCTCTGGGACCCGTGAAGTAGTAACAGGCGTGTTTTTACACAGGTGATGGTATACATGCTCAGCAGGGAAAATGGGATCGTGGCAGCGTGTGACAACCTGCTGGACATTGTAAAGTCCGTGGTAGCCAGTGAAGCCTGTAGAAGAAGGGCTGGGCTCGGGGTCGGTCAGAGGTTGTTCTAATTCCATGGTCGACACTTCTGCCTGTGTGACCTCGGGCAAGTCAGTTCTCTGGGCTTTATGAAATGGCAGTTATTCTGTTTCCGTGGATGTGCTTATTAAACAGTAAAGAGCTTGAAGATAAGATGACTCCAGTCAGTTTTTGTTGGTGTAGTTATTAAATTGTAGGTAATTGTGGTCATAATACAGAGAATGTAAACGACGCCTGTGCGCTTCATAGCGTTCTGTCATTTTCTGACCCTTTAGGAAGAACTGTTGAAAGCCATTGCCTGTGTGGTGACAGCTTGCAGGTAAATGTTTTTTCAGTGAAGATGCCATTTCTTAAATTGAACGCAAAAGCTGTGGCTCTTACTAACTGCCGGTGCTTTTGTACGGACCCGTAGTGCAGAGCTGGAAAAGCCGGTGCCCAATCAGCCCAGCACGAGTGAAATTGTCCAAGCCGTCCTGAAGGAGTGTTGCAAAGAGAATCCCAAATACAAGATCGTGGCCATCAGCTCTGCCGCGGACGTCTTGAAGGCCACCAAAGAGGACAGGTTCCGGGAGTTTTCTGACATTGTCATACCTCTCATCAAGAAGGTAACGACTGCCCGTCTCTGTCCTCGCAGGTCTGCCCTATACTTTAAAAATGAAAAAGAAGAGAAGAGATTTTCCTGTGTCCTGTTTGCATAATTTATTTTAGGGTTAGTGTAGCTGCAAATAGCAGAAAGCCATTGTCCTCATGGTCCACAGTGGGTCTACATCCCAGCCAGGCGACCGCAGAGGAGATGAAGAAAGGGTGAGGGATCGAAGCGGGCCCGTCCGTTCCTTCTCAAGGAGAGTTCCTGGGAACCGCCACGTGGCCCGGTCCCTTCTCCTCCGCTGGCCAGTACTTGGCCAGATACCTGCTTGTAGATTTGTTCTAGGTGCCCACTAGCCCTCCATGGGAGAAGGGAAAGGTGGACTCATTTTATTTTATTGGAGGGGTTTCGACCTGCAAGCCAGGAAATGCTAGACTTACAGGAACAATGAATTCCTGAGAGTGGATTTGGGTTACAGTAGGTTTACAGTTGTTTGTATGGCAAATAAGACAGTAATTCTTCAATCAGAATACAAGAATAAACTGTTCCGCATGCTCACGGCTGTAAACTTACTTTTGTCCCCCCTGTAGTTACGATAAGGGTAGCCTTATGACCCTGTGCAGAAGCCACCGCGGTCATCCTGAAGTGAGGGCAGGGTAGTCACTCCCTGCGTCACTGTTAGCTGCCCCTGCCATACACTGGGGGGTTCGGACCCAAAAAAGACTGATTTCATTTGGAAAAAGTACTTGTTTTTTAAAGAAAGAAGGGTATAGTTTACCTATTTTTTGTGAAACGTGACATAGTTTAAATAGCATTCTTATTTCTTGTGTTTGTAGTTGTTTTTTCTGAGTAAAAAGACTATTTACAAATCCATTATGTATGTAATTTTTTACATACATAATGGATTTGGAAGACTTATATTTTAAATTGGTGATATCACCAGCTAGCTGGATGAGTCACTTCTCAACCAGTTCTCTGTGTTATTAACAAAGTTTGAGTTGAGATCATCATCACTTCTTTCATCTTTCATTCCATGATTCTAATGACAGTCTTTTTATGTTATGCTCAAAATACTACGTGTACCGTATTTTTTCACCTTTGCTTACATATGTCTTTTAAAGGATTTCCCACATTTATTAGAGAGGTGTAGTATCCTTGCACAAACTCAGGTTAGAGAATTTAGCATTTAATTCATGGTAATATCCTCTACTTTGGTACCTTGGTTGTTTTAATAGTACACCTGTAACTGAAAACAAAATTATGTTTTGCTTCCTTTTTTCTTTTTTCTTTCTACTTGACCTGTCCTAGAATTCACTGGAAAGCATCGGAGTCCGGACAACCAAAAGCGAAGATGAGAACGAGAAGGAGAAGGAGCTCCAGCTGGAGTCCCTGCTGGCGGCCTTCGAGGGCCTGGGCAAAGCCTGGCCTCGGAGCGCGGAGACGCAACGTAAGCCCCAGAGGTTGTTACTTAACGGGAGCGAGGATGTGCTGGGTGACACATTAGAGCTGCTGTTTCTTGTGCAGCCTGATGATTAGCAGTGAGAATTATCCAATGTAAGTTTTATTCCTACATCGGCAAATAATCTCATCAACTGTTATGTTAGTTTGCTGGGGTTGCTGTAACAAGCACCACGGACTGGGTGGCTCATCCAACAGAAATTCAGTTTCTCCCTTTTTTTTCTTTTTCTTTTTCTTTGAGATCAAGGTGTCAGCAGTGTTGGTTTCTTTGAGACCTTTCTCCTTGGGGTGTTAATAGCCATCTGGGTCTGTGTGTCCTCATCTCTTCTTCTTATAAGGACACCAGCCATCCTGGATTAGGGGTCACCTGTGCAACCTTTAAAGAGTCTGTCTCCCAACAGAGTCACATTCCAAGGTTCTTGGGGTTAGGACTTCAACGTATGGATTTGGGAACACAATTCAGCTTTTAACAGCCATGGTCTATTTTATATAGATAGTTTGACTATAAAAAGAAATGTTACCGTTCTCTGTGAAGCTGTTTTCTGAGGAATCCACAGAGTTTATTAGTGGGATCTCTTCATGTTGAAGTTAACCGCCTTGTAAGTAAACAAATCTTCAATAAGCAAGCGAAATCTCTGTTTCACTGAGAACCTTGAAACTTTTTAAGATTTTCAGAATTGGACTTGTATTTCTGATGTTAGACTGATAAATAGTAACCCTCTACTGCTGGGTTGGGTTGTGCCTAGTTAGGCGTCCTTTGACGGGACAGGGCCTCGGCCTCGGCCCCTGCTCCTGTGAAGTTGCTTTGTGTTGTTAGTTCTTGCAGTGCGTCTCCCCAGGCACCGTACTAAGCTGGAACGTTATTAAAAGTGTGTTGACTATTTCTCAGTGGATACGTCTAAAATCAGACTTAAGATTGTCCTTGAGCCTTGCCATTTTTTTTGTGAGCTTTAAAAAGTGTATTTGCTATGTGTATATATGTATACAATCTCTTTTTCCAGAGGATACCTATTAGTAAATGGCCTTATGTCATGGGTTGCAGTAGAAGTCTAGCTTTTTGATGCCATTAGGACTACTGAATTTTTCTTAAATGGGGTAGAGAATGTGGAAGTAGGGAATTATATAAAAATGGTACACCAAGCAGTTTATTTGAGTATAAGGCATAGAAATACACATTCATTTGCCGTTACTAAAGGGAAGACCAAGGCCTTTGGGAATTTGGCTGTTGCATGTTGGCTTTCCATACACATCTTACTCAAAAGATACCATGTATAATTTCTGACTTTTGTTTCTTTGTAGTAGAGAAAGGCAATTCAAGTGCGGGATTCTTGTACATTTTTACCCCCATCTGTCTTTACATATGCGAACTGAAATAATTTTGCAGCATTTAAAAAATAACCACTTTGTTGAGCTTTATACTCCTGTTTCATTGGTCAGTGCACTAGTAATTACATCATTGTAATCACAAGTGCAGCCGGTCTAACAGGTTTGGGGCAGAGCACTGCCATCTGTTGGTGAGCCTGCGACGCATAGAAGCTCCTGAGTGTCCAGAGGAGCACCAGGCCTCCCGAGCTCTGCTTTCTTTGGCTGTTGTTTGGGGTGTTTTTACAGGGGAGGGGAGTGTCGTCAAGATTGTGTCAGTTCCTTGGAGGAAATTGCTTTAAAAATAAACATTTATGAACAGTTATATAGGACCTTCATGGGGGAAGTTCTGACCAGGGAAATTTGCGTGGGGATTGGACACAGAGTCGCCCCGAAGGTTTGTTGTTTCTTGGTGTTTTTGTTGTTGTTTTATTTTTTTAATTTCATGGCTTTAACTAAAGACATTGTTGATTTATTTTTCCTCCCTCACCCTCCTTTCTCTCCCTCTCTCTGTCTTCCTCTTCCTACCCTTCTCTGTCCCCTATCCCTGTCTGTTCCTTGCTCTCCCATTCTGCCTTTTTTTCCAGGTTGTTACCGTCAGGAACTGTGCAGGTTGATGTGTGAACGGCTGAAACTCAGCACGTGGAAAGTGCAGCTGGGAGTCCTCCAGTCAATGAACGCCTTTTTTCAGGGGTAATGTGCTTTGTGATTCAGCCATTCATCTTTTTTTCCCCTTGGCATTTTATATACAGTCAATGAAATTCTTTTAAATTTTAAAACTAAATGCTAGAATGACATCACAAAGTGATATATGCAGAATAGAAATTGTATCAGAAAGGTTTTGGGATACTTTATTTTTGTTCTGCTTTCTTAAAGATCTTTCTTACAGAGAGGGGAAGGGAGGGGGAAAGAGAGGGAGGAAAACACTGATGTGTGAGAGAAACATTGATTGGTTGCCCCTTGCATGCCCCAAGGGGACCCAGCTTGTAACCCAGGCATGTGCCTGTGCTGTGATTGGGATTTGCACAGGTGACCTTTTGGTTCTCAGGCTGGTGCTCAATCCACTGAGGCACACCAGCCAAAGTTAGAATACTTCTTAAAACTGGCATTTGTGTCTTGCCTTTTCAATTTTATAGGTTAATGCTTTTGGAAGAAGAACATGCGGATCCTGAGGCTTTGGCTGAAATTCTCCTTGAAACTTGTAAATCAATCACATATTCTTTAGGTGAGTGAGGTAAACCGACATTGATAAGGGGTCCTAATTTTAAAGGTCAAGGAACTAAGCTTCTAATATTTCCTACCTTGTGCTAAATTTATGGAACTACTGAATTGTGCTATTTAATGTAATCGGTATATATGCCCAAACTGGAATATATTAAAATGGAACTGTAGTTTAGGATTTTAACACCTGGATTAGAAAAACCCAGTATTTAGAAAAAAACAAACTTTTATCTGAAAATAATTTCAAACTTACAGAAAAGTTATAATAATAGTACGTATATCCCACCCGTGACTGAAATCATATGGTTCTTGGCTTTTTCCCTATGGTTATTTGGTAAGATGGTGTTCTCAAGGTCCACCCATGGTGTTGCAGATGGCAGCATCTCATCTGTTTTTATGGCTGAGTGGTGTGCCACACTGTACATGTGCCGTTTCCATGGACCGAGGGGCACTTCACTTGTTTCTGTGTATTGGCCGTACTGCAGAGAACATAGTGGTGCATATGTGTTTGTGAATACATGTTCTCAGATTTCTCAGGTAGATGCTCGGAAGAGGGGTCGCTGGGTCATATGGTAACTCTGGTCCCAGTCTTCCGAGGAACCGCCAGACTGTTCTCCGTAGTGGCTGCACCAGTTTGCACTCCCGCCAGCGGTGAACGCGGGTTCCTTTTTCTCCACAACCTCTTCAGCACCTGTTCTTACCTGTCTTGTTGATCACAGCCATTCTAACGGCTGTGACGTGGTATCTCACTGTGGTTTTGATTTGCCTTTCTCTAATAGCTAGTGCAGTTGATTATCTTTTCATCTATCTGTTGGTCATTTGTATGTCTGCTTGGGAGAGGTGTCTGTTTAAAAATGGGAGCGGTTCTCTGCCTATTTTTAAATTGGATTGTTTTGTTGTTAAGTCGTATGACATAAAACTGAGAAACAAATGAACAAACAAGACAAATAAAAACTCATAAACACAGACAACAGGATGGTGGTTACCAGAGGGAAAGGGTGGTGGTAGAGAGATAGTAAAGGAAACCAAAGGAGATTTGGCTTTGGGTGGTAAATACAGTGCAATATATAGAGGATGGATTACAGATTCGTATACTGGGAAAACCTATATAATTTTATTAACTAAAGTCACCCATATAAATTTACTGTGTTTTGCCATGTATAATGCATACTTTTTTGCTCAAATTTCAGGGGAAAAAATAAGGATGCTCATTATACATGGTTAGCATTAATCCCATATCTATGTAAATGTTTTTAATTTTTTTTATTTATGCTTATGAGGTAAAAGTGTAACTCTAGAAAGCAATAACAATATCCATATGAAAAATAATACCTGATAATCGATTGTTTTGAAATATGAATACAAAGTCGAATTTCAAAAATTAAAACGAAAGATCTTTTTCCTGCAAGTTTGAGCCCAAAACATGGGTGTACTTTATACATAGGAGCGCATTCGACATGGCAAAATACGGTAATTAAAAAAGCGGGCGAAGAAACAAAACAAGAACCTGAGCCCCACGACTTGCCAGGCCAGCTCTTAGCCACCTGCTGCACTGCCCCACAGGGCGGGAAGGTTGGGGTGACTGTCCCATCGCCTGCGCCCGCTTTTCTTCCTGTCTCCTGCCATGGGGCGCAGTCAGGGCACTAAAAAACTGCTACATATAAAGCCTGTATATTCTTTAGCCGGTCATCTGTTAACATTTTGGCCCACCTACTTTACCATTGGCACTTCTGTGTGCGTGTTTTTCCCGAGCCATTTGAAAGCGTGGTGTGCATGCCACGCCCCTTCACTCCCGAATCCTCCGCTGGGGACGCGCTTCCGTCCGCACCGCACTGCGCAGGCGCCAGGTTGGGGGCGCAGCACCGAGGCAGCTTTTAATCGAAGGGTCAACACCATTCGTAGTTGGGGTTGTCTCTTGACTCGGTAGTGTTTTTTATAGAACTTTCCCCCTCCCCTCCACGAAGGAGTTGAGCCCGGATTATTTATGGAATTTAGTTGTCGTATCTTTTTATTCTCCTTTAGTCTGGAACTCTTCCTCAGCTTTTGTCTTATAGGACATTGACAACTTTGAAGCAAAGTCTCCCCACCCCCTGTTTTAACTAGAGTGTTTTTCATTTGGCGTTTGTCTGATGTCTCCTCATGATTAGATCCAGGTCATGATTTCCCATTTGGGATACTCCCTCCGTAAGTGGCGTGCCTCACACCAGGAGGCACGGTGTCCATCTGCCCTCACTGGTGATGTCAGTTTTGATTACCTGGTCAAGGTACTACTCAATTTTCTCTACTGTACAGTTACTTTTTTCCCCCCTTGTGTCTAATAACCAGCCTATGGGAACATACTTCTGGCCCCAATAACCTGCTCTTCAAAACGGTGACTAACAGAGCGTCTGGGAAGAGACACTCCAAGAGCCCATAGATCAGCCTCCCTCTTCAGAATGTCTGCGAGACCTCGTGTGCATCGATGGTTCTCCCCGAGTCAGTTCTTACGAAGATGATGTTCTTTTTTTAAATTTTATTTAATTATTGTTCAAGTACAGTTTTCTGTTTTTTACTCCCATCCCAGCCCACTGAAGATGATGTTCTAACTCCACATTTCTTCCGCGTTTACCATTTGGCAGTTGGCAGCCTCTCCTAAGCAAGATCCCCTCCCTCTCCCTATCTCTTTATTATTGATGCTGATTCATGGATTCCTTTTCCCCCAATTGGTTTATAATTAATTATTTTTCTTAATTAATTTGTTGCTCACGTTGTCCCAGTTCGGCCAGTGGAAGCCCCTTCAGGCTGTCTCCTGGGTCCTGTTGACAGGTCACCATCATCCTTATCATCCTTATAAGCACTTCTGTACTTTGCAGCATAACAGGATGTTAGAAGGTCCTTTTGTGCTTTTTCTTGCTGCCGGTTTGGTTGTGTGTTAATTTTTTTGGTAGGCAGTCTCACTGTGAACTAGATGCCGTATCTAGAGTAGACGCCAAGGAAGCATATTTCAATTGTAATTCTTGGAAGCAGTTAGATAAAGATGCTTTTAGATAAAGAACAGGCAGTTAGGAAACTAGTCTTTACAGGGTTCCAGGCAGGTGTCCCCGAGTTGGCCCTCATCCTGGCTTGTGTAATGTTCTTTGTTAAAATGAGGAGGTCATGAAAACCTAGAAGACCTTTCTGACCAAATCGGGCACGTTCAGGGTGGTTTGGGCATAGACCTAAAGACCTTTCTATGTGTTCGAGGTCATGCCTTTTGAATTCCCACTTCTAAAGTGGGTCCTTTAAATATTGCCATTTAAAGGTGATTGATATATATGGCTGACGTTTTTCTTTTAATATAATGGATGTGGACATGTGGCCCATTTCAAATATTTAATAATAAATAACATGCAAAGGGAAGCTTACGTAAGAAAGGGTGTGTCTTTTCCTGAATTTATAATTTCTGAAAATCTTTCAGTAACACTAACTTAATCTTGGAGCTTTTGTTTATAAGGCATCTAAAACAAATAATGTGCATTATGTGATTTTCTTCTTAGAAAATAAGACCTACTCATCTGTGAGAACAGAAGCTTTATCTGTGATAGAATTACTGCTTAAAAAACTTGAAGGTGAGTTCTGCATTGTTCTGCCTGGAAGACCGGAAAGCCAAGATATTTTATGGCATATGTTTTAGAAATTGTTTTTATTTTTTGTTTTTAAATAAGTATTTACTCTAAAATAAACATATACATATATTAAATATATATATGTGTGTGTATATGTGTATATATATATATATAACAAAATACAAACACACACACATCCAAGTGAGACAGAGCTAAAACCTTTAATTTGTGTGAGTTTTTTGTTATATACTTTTTACTGTATTGTGAAGCTGTAGATATCTTAGAATCACAGTTTCTGTTTCCACCGTGAGCCCCGTTGTAACCCTGGTCCATCAGAGCAGGTCCAGGTGTAGCAGAGCTCACTGCTCACAGGTCAGTCAACACAGCGGCAGTGGAAGAGTGGACCCGAGTGGAGTGGGAGCGCATTTGAGCGAACGAAGATCCTAATTTGATAGCAGTTTTCTTAATCCTATTTTTTCCTGTTTTCCTTTTTTTTTTTACCCTTCTTATCAAGAGGATTTCTTCTAATGGTCTGTGGTAATAGAAAACATTTCCTCCAGTGGTGTTATCTGTTACTGATTTAAAGAGGAGCCTTCTTTCCTTTTTTCTTTTTCTTCTTTTTTTTTTTTTTTTTTTGACCCCGTGGATTGAGCATGGGGAAGAAGGAGCAGTTTTCTCCAGGTCCTATTTGTTTGCAATTTCCACCTTTCTATTTTTGCTTAGCTGTTAAAGTGCCTCTCCTGGGGCCCCAGGAAACAGGCTTTTTAGCCTCAGTAACGCTGCACGTCTTGGAATCCCTTTTTTCCTCACTCGTGGAACTAGGCACCTTGCCGTGTCACCGGGTTCTCACCATGTCACCGAGTTCTCGCCGTGTCACCGAGTTCTCGCCCTGCACCAGGTGTCGTGAATCTGTTCTGGATGAGTAGAATGAGCCTAAACCGAGAAAAGACTTTCTTGAAACCGCACCACTGGAAAGTGGCTGAACCTCAGCAACAAGATACAGGATCTTTAATTGCTGAGTTTCTCTGATTCTTCCCTGAAAGAAAGGAGTAATAAAATGCCATGTGTTGAAACTCACTTTGTAATTAGAAAATTTATTCAAGATTTTTTCATTTTATTTTTTACCGAATACTCGAAGACGCTTTTAGTGTTGTCCACTTGGCTTTATCGTCACCGCGTGCCTTGCCTTCCTACTTCCCACTTCGCAGTGGCATCCCTCCTGGGGACAGAGAATGAGACCTACTGATGTGCTCTCGGGTTGTTGCCAGTGATTAGGGTTCAGACGACTGTCGAACCTGTGATAGTTGTATACTGGATTGTTACCAAGGGGTTGCTGTGCGTTTGTTTTGGGAATACGATGTACGGAGGAAAAGCAGAAAGACGTTCGGGTTTTTTGCTTGCTTGTTCTACGAAGAATCTTTTTTTCTTCTTTCTCTTCTCATTTAGAATCTAAACAATGGGAAAGTTTGACATCCGAATGCAGAGTACTCCTGATTGAGTCTTTAGCGACTATGGAGACAGACAGCAGACCTGAACTACAGGAGAAAGCATCACTGCTGAAGAAAACACTTGAAAATCTGGAGTAAATTAGAAGGGGAAGAAGCAAACAAGTGCCATGTTTATTGGGGTTGAGATGGTGGTGTTCTTTGGAAAACCAAGGGGGAAAAGTAAAGATTAATCTGTAGCATGCATCATTCCTTGGCTGAAATAATAAAAAAAAATGCCTTAAATTTTGTTCCTTATTAGCTTTATTTTATTTGATGTTTTTAAATTTTGTGGGCTGAGTGAGCTTCGTGGAACACGAATGTCTGAGAGGTGGTTGTAAGTAAAACAGATGGAAATAGGTATCGATGATTAAAGCTGTTATTAAAGGAATAGACAAAGTTGTAGAGCAAGCTGGATCAAACTCTTAGAACTGTGTCTCAATTAAAGGACGTTATTTAGGGAAGGGCGTCTGTGCCTCCCTATATTTAACCCCCTTGCTTTCCGCCTGAAGAAATACGCTACATAGATGACGCAGCTCCTTTTCCCGAAGCCAGAGTCCAGGTGTTGGGTGACTGGCCCTGGCCCACCGGAGAAATTCCCACCATGAGGTATGCCCAGCCGGCCTTGAACTGGCACGGAACGGTTCAAGAACCCAGTGACATCACTGGGTTCTTGAAATTCAGAAGCTGAGCATAGTTTTGTCGTTTGTTTAGATGGTCAGTTTTTAGAAAGTAATTGTCTAACATCTTTCTTTACAAGTCGTGGGGAGAATTCAGGCTCTGTGGGCTCATTCCGATGGTCCGTTCATGGGCAGGTACGGGTAGATCAGGACCCGAGTGCCCCTTCTGTCTGTCTGCGGTTGCTTATTTTGCAAAACCCCAACCAACTCTGAAATCATGACTGTTTTGATTTAGACCATTCCTATTCTCAAAACCAGAAAAACAACTTACAGTTTTATACCCACTTCCATGTTAATAGTACGGTTTGGGGATAGAAGGGAAAGCATTTTAATGTACCATCTGGGAAAAGCACGATACCACTCAGTAAATAATTACAGGTCGGGTTTCTGCCTTTCCTTGTATGTATATGCCCCTGCCTGAGAACAGAGGGTGAGGGGAAAAACGACTCTGACTGAGTGTTTAAGGTAAACCGAGAACATTGTAGTTTACCTTGAATTTTAGGCACCAACTTGGTTTACACTCAATATTGGCCCCTCACCGACATCGACACCGGGCCGAAACCCCCATGGTCAGTATTTCTGGTGGTCTCTGTTGAGCCATGTATTTCACATGTCCTTGACTGTGACTCATAGTAAAAATGATTTTTCACACGACCCAGAACAGTGAGTGTGTGTGAGAGAGTGAAAATATAAAATCATTAATTGAAATAAACATTTTGTGAAGTAATTCAGACTCTTAACCGTGTGGTACGCTTTGACCCTCCCGCACCCCACCGTTTTCGGTGCTCACTGAACCTGTGCCCTGACTCACTGACGTGTTGCTGTTCTAAGTTTGAAGACACTGCCCCAGTGGTACCGAATCGTGGCAGTGTGTGCCACATCCGGGGTTGCTTCTGATTGGGGAAGGCGTTTACAAATGAATATTTAAGTGTTTATTACCAAAACATCCTCTTAGCTGATACTAAATAATAACTGCTTTCTTAGCATCATGAGTTCTAAGGAACCTGTTGTGGACTTCCACTTGAGAATGGCTTCTGCTTGAGGGAAAAATCCACTTTGGGTGTTTTTCAGAAAGCTTATGGCCTCACAGCGTTTTCCCCATCAGCACTCCCTGACCCATGACGTGCTCTTGGACTCTCATTTTCAGTGTCTGGGGTGTTCTTCCTGGGCAAGAACCGAGGGCAGGTCAGGTATTGCCAGGAACTAAGTGTGAGGACGAGAACTGTGCTCTTGGCCCATGTGAAATGCATAGGCCTCATCAAATTTTATGCTTTTTAAACTTCTTGTTATTTAATATTGGGAATTTCCCATGGTGCTGAGAGAGGTGCTAAGATACCCGAACCTTAGTGCTTAGAGCTACTGAATTAATTTCCTTGCGCTGTCTGAGTACATACCTAATTTGTACACCTAATGCCTTCATCTGGACCAGCCAGGTCATTTGCACGAGGGATGCTGCACCATGGCCTCCCGGTGCGGCCTGTGTGTGTGCGTGTGTGCACATCTATTGAAAAGGGTTAAAGCAGAGTTGTAATTGTGGAGAGTCGATACTGGCGAACAAATGGATGAAGACTGTGCATGTTTCTGTCTTTTGCCTTCATCGTCCTAAGTTATCTGCAACAGATCTTAATGATTCTCCCCCCTCCCCAGAAGTATTCAGTGCTACTTGTCATACAAGCAGCTGGTCGAGAGTCTAATTACTAAATTCCTCATTCCTGGAATATGTACACTAGAGACGGCTTCATAAACTTACTGATACATGGAAAGGAGGTACCTGGGGTTTGACTATCAGTCAAATCAAAGTAGTCTGAAATTGTCTTTTTGGCGATCAAAAGCAGCTGTTTCTTCCATGTTTGCGTCCACTTTATAATCACCAGTGTGTCTGCCTGTGATACAGTTTACCCTCACAGTGAAACCTGACTGCCACCGAATCCCCACTGCTTCCCCCTTCCGTCTTCACTTGTGTGTTTACTAAGAAGAAAAAGAAAAACAGATGTGATGTTGGTCTGTGCTCCAGTGGCAAGCGCACTGTGTGAACACTGCCTGCCGCTGCTGCCATCCGGCCACGCTGCTCCTCCAGGGCGGGGCGTTATTTTGACACTCGTTGTACAAACTACTGTGAATGGATGTATATGTAACAGATTTTTGTATTTTATATGCAAAGTCTTCATAGAATCCTCTGCAATATGTACTCAGCTAGTTAACCATGTGATAGTCTTATTTGAAAGGAAAATCCAAGAGGACGTGAAGTGGTGAATAAAGGTTGCATGACCAGTTCTTCTGAAGTAGTGCATTAATTTGTAACAATTTTCTAGAAAAATACTTTCGCTTCTGAGGTGTTGACTAGTACTTACACTTTAAAAACCGAAGAAAGCCCAGTAGCCTGCCAGTCTTAGCTGTCTCTGCTTGTTCACCATGGATTCCAGTGTGTGTGCGGGATCTTTCTGGTCCTCTGGGGAGGAGCCTTCACGGGCCCTTTGCATTCATTCCATCGAGAAATGTATAAAATCTGAGGGCTTGTAGGTATTCTTTTCATATGAAACTCCTAATATTAGACTCTAAATTCCCTGCTAAAATAACTTTCTCTTTGAATCAAATTCTAGAGAATATTTAGTCACAGTGTATCCAGCCTTTTCATTAATTTTACTGAGCCTTTTAAATCTAAAAAAACAATCAGCCTATTTGTTCTGACCCCAGGTCACACCAACCCCTGCCTAAAGGAAAAAAAATCTCTAATTCAAAAATTCTTGTCAAGCTCATACTACACATCTTCAACGAACATCACCCTTAAACAGTCTGAATTACTGAACCAGACATCCATGGGATGTAAGAAAAGAGCTGTTGTTTTAAGGCACTAAGTTTTGGTTCCTTTGTCATGTAGCACCAGGAAGCTGATGTTCCTTACAGTAGCGAAGTATTCCTCCCGGGCTGGGGAATCGTGTAGCACTATCTACTGAAGGCGACAGATGTGCTCTATCACTCCTACATATACGCTCAAGGGGAATGTGCACTTCACATGTATTGAAAGAAGTACAGCGTTAGCTTTGAAACAGCCAAAAAATGGAGAATTCAGATGTTGCAACAGAACAGTAGAGAAAGTGTTACCATAAAGTAGACAATCATACAGCAATAAAAAGTGAACAAACTGCAGTCACACACGTCAACATGGATCTCACAAGCACACTGTGGAGGGAAGGGACCCAAACACTGCAGTGAACACTCATGGTGGTGCAGAGTCAGCTAACGTTCTACGTGTACTTGACAATGCACGCACTTGTGTGCAGCCAGCCAGGAAGTTCCATGATGGTGTTAAGTCTAGCTGATGGACGGTGGTGGTTCAGCCTTCTACATCCTTGTTGGTAACACTGTAGTCCTGCCAATTATTGAGAGTATTAACGTCCTCAGCTATTATTGTTGAATCGTCTATTTCTCCCTCTAATTCTGTCAGTTTCTATGTCCAGTATTTTGGGGCTCTGTTTTTTAGGTCATATTTATAGTTGTCATGTCTTGATGGAGCGACCCTTTTATCATTAAATATGGGCCACACTTTCCTGTTTTTTTGCATGTCATAATTTTTTGTGGCAACTCTGGAAATCATACTCCCCTTTCATTCTAGAGTTTGTGGTTGCTCTTTTCTTTCTCAGTGACTTCCTGCACTAATTCTGCGAATTCTCAATTCTTGATTGTACGTGACCACTGAAGCATCTGCTCAGTTAGCCAAGTGGTCAGCTCGTGATTCGATAGATCACCTTAACTGCCTTGCATCCACAAGTTTTCCTTCTGGTAGCTCCTCCTGTACCTCTACTACCCATAGCTCCACTGTGTTGTGTTTATATGATTTTAAGTGAATTTGGGGGAGCAGTAGTGGTGTAGAGACTGGCTAGGACCAGCCAACGACCTGAAATTCAATACAAGATACTACTGTTTTGTGGCTCCTCAGCCTTCCCTGCTACTGGGTATTTCTCATTGGCTAGTTTCTCTGTATCCTTCTAGTCCCTAAAATTTGTGGGCTTTTCCCTCTCTTCCTAAAACCTGCTTCAGTCTTCTGTCTCTCAATGTTTCAAACCCTTATATAGTTTAAAAGACTTTATTTATTTATTTTAGAGAGGGGAAGGGAGGGAGAAAGAGGGAGAGAAACAGCAGTGTGAGAGATACATCACTTGGTTGCCTTTCACACGCCCCACCCAACTGGGGACCTGGCCTGTAATCCAGGCAATGTGCCCTGATTGGGAATCGAACCAGCAACCCTTTGCTTTGCAGTCCAGCGCTCAATCCACTGAGCCACCTGGGCTGGTTATTTTGCACAATATTCCTCAACTTAATCTTGTCTGGTTTGCTCTCATGATCAGATTCAGGTTATGTATTTTTGATGGGAACACCACAGAAGTGATACCATTTCAGTGCTTTATACCAGGAGGCATGTGGAGTCAATTTGTGCCTTTCTTGGTGATGCTACGGTGGTTCTCTTCCAGGTCTTCCCACTTATTGTCTTGTTTTGGAAATCAGTAAGTAGTTTGTGGTGCGATACTTCCACACAATGTAAATATCCTGTTTCTAATCCAGCTTTTT